CAAACAGGAATATGGGAAAGGATGATTATTTATTTAAAAAATGTATTCATTAGTGCAGGGAAAAGAATAAGATCTATATATTATTCATACTCCAATGGCTCATTTAACTTGGAATTAACCCAAAATATTTATGACCAGCTGAAATTAGCAATGGTCTTTTAAAATGAAACATAATTATACAGAGAGAAAAATCTGTAAGTTTAACCAATGTCATACTGGATAATATTATATATATTATATATATGTGTATGTGTATATATGTATATATATGTGCACATATGTAATTTTACTTTTTAAAAAATTTTTTCCTTTATTGATTTTAAAAAAGAGGGGGAGAGGGATAAAGAGGTAGAAACATCAGTGAGAGAGAAACATCATTAATCGGCTGCCTCCTGCACACCCCCTACTGGTGACTGAGCCTGAAACCCAGGCATGTGCCCTGACTAAGCATCCAATCTGTGACCTCTTGGTTCCTGAGTCCATGCTCAACTACTGAGCCACACAGGCTGAGTTAATTTGACTTTTAACAAGGGTGCTCTCCATAAGGCAACCAACCATGGAAAGAGTTTTCTGTATTTCAGAGCAAGATCTGTTTCTATTGCCAAAACTTTAAAGGACTAATACTGCAGGTCAGAGAATCTGATGTATTAGGAAAAAGTGTCTGGTTTGGGAAGTTTGAACAGTCACAACTTTGAGAACTGCCTTCACCATGTGGTTACCTGCTAGCTTTTCAGTGCCTTTCCCTGGGCAGTCATTACAGGAAGCATCGATGAAGGATGCTCACCTGTTAGGAAGGAGGAAAATATCTGAACTCACATTAAATGAACACTTACTAGAAGTTGAAATATAGACTGAAAAGATTTTCTTGTAAATATTTGAGGCTTTCTAAGGGTTCCATAGAAACCCTTAAAAATGTTTTCAATGCCATCTTTCTTTCTTTTTAACTACTAAAAAATCTACTAAATTGTGTATTGTGCTATATCACAGAAATAAATGCCCTGATTTAAAATGTATACATTACCTTTATGAAAAAACACAAAAAATATGGAAATATTATGCATAAATGAAATACTTAATATTCCAAATACTAATGAACATTCTCAAGGTTTAAAATATAATCTTATTATCCTTCTCCTTTATAGTATTGCTCTATTTACATAAACTGTATGCTATTTTTCATATATAAATCTTTATATCCTTTATGAAACACCCAATTTTCACGAATCCCTTATTTTCTTTAGACAAGAAACTTTATAAGTGTACAGTAATTTACATAAAGAAAGTTCTGCAACCTTCTTTGTCTTTAAAACTTTGGATACTTAACCCCTGACAGAGAACCACTTCATTCAGTGTGTGGCCTGCAGCCATAGCTAATAACTCAGTGGCAGTCTTAGAGAGAGGAAAAGTTCCCAGCAGAGTTGGAAGCTAGTGCAAAAACATCAAGAGATGTGTGCAGAGAATTGCTTTCTCATGATAAACCGACAGAAAAGATTATCCCACCATATAACCGTATTACAACAAAACTCCCATATATCGCAGCTCTTGCATACTTATACGATGCAATTGAAGGGTTTGTGGTGTGCCCTCCTAGTAATGATGAGTTGACAAAGGTTTTGTTTTTTTCTTTGCTTTAAGACTTTATGCCCTATTTTTTTTCTAACTATATTTCCCTCATATTTTGGAGGAGATATTTTAAAGGCAAAATTGGTCATTCGAGCATTTTAATCATCTGCAATGTTTCACATATCTAACTACATTTTCATGTCTATGCACTTGTGTCACTTTACACACAAAAATAAAAATTATAAATATGCCTGCTTTAGCATGATACTTACAGGCAAAAATCAATATTAAAAATATGTTCAATACCATATTTTTAATAGTGATGATGCACTGTTAAGTTAAAAACTATATAGATAGGAATACAGACACACACATACACACATAATGGTACATTCACACAATAGACTATTACACAGCTTTAAAAAATTAATTTATCATCACTTACAATACAAGAACATGTAATGCATTATTCAGAGAAATGGCAAGCATCATGGCTTTTAATCCTATAATTGTCTCCCTTTTTCTGTGATTCTCCCATCTCTGCCCTCCTTTGCATGTTCAGTTCATCTTCTGGCTAATAAAGCTACAGCCAGTATGGGTGGCCTGTTCAACAGACACAATGTCTCAAGGAAGCAGAGAAAATATTGCTGGCAAGAAGGATGAGATTAACGTTGCTTTTAAGTGGGCTTCAACAAAGGCTTCAAGAAATGTTGCTTATAATGACGTGTAACGCACTCTATTTTCTATTTCATCTTTAAAACATTCTGTCACCACAAATAACTTATTCGATGACAGACCAATGAAACACTTTCTGAATCACAATAGCTTAGATCCATCAGGGTCCACAGCCAAGAGCCAGGTACAGTCCCCAACCTCCTGGCCTTAGAGGGCGGCAGCAAGAGTTCAGGAAGGAGGACATCAGGGGTCTACCATAAGCTCCTGACCAAAGCCCACCCGAAGGCTTGTGATGGAGGCCAAGGGCTCTGTGCTCAGTAACGTGCAGTGAGGTTAATGTAAATTCACTGCAGCCAGAAGGCAGAACGTGAGATCCGACGTGTGAGAACAGGCATGGAAAGGAATTAGGAGTTGGGATTTATCCTGCAGCAGAGGGAAGGCATCAAAGAGTTTAAAGCTGGGTGATAATAATGAAAAGGAAGATACTTCTAGCTTTAGTATCAAAAATGCCTTGGAAAGGAGTTGTCCCTCCATAAGCTCCTTTTAGGATACTGAGGGAATGAATGGGTGTGTGGATAAAGGAATGGACAGGGTTAAAAAAGATTCTCAGGTCTGTGTAGTACACTGGGAGTCAGGAAACAAGAATATCAGCTAAATTGAAAAGAAAAAAGTGAGCTAAAATTTGGAAACACTGTGTTCCTTTGTCTGTCGGGCTTTAGGAGATAAAAGTCTAAGTAGGGATTTGGAAGATAACAGCAGCGAGAAGAAATGGAATTAACTTGGGTAACTATGCGGAGTGAATCAGAGAGGGAACAAAGGCACAGAGACATTTGAGGGTGAGCAGAAAAGAAGCCCCTGCGAAGACTGGAAAAGAGTAGCCACGGGTGTGGGAGACCTGGCAGCGAAGTGAGAGAAAAAAAGTATAAAAGAAAGATCAGGCAATGCTATAAGGAGGGTAACTAAGATAAGCACAAAAATTGCCTTTTGGCCGTGACTGGTTTGCCTCAGTGGATAGAGAGTTGGCCTGTGGACTGAAAGGTCCCAGGTTCGATTCCAGTCAAGGGCATGTACCTTGGTTGCGGGCCCATCCCCAGTAGGGGCTGTGCAGGAGGCAGCTGATTGATGTTTCTCTCTCATTGATGTTTCTAACTCTCTATCCCTCTCCCTTCCTCTCTGTAAAAAAATCAATAAAATATATTTTTTAAAAATTGCACTTTTGGATTCTGAGGGGGCGGGGGGGGGGGAGAGAGAGAGAGAGAGAGAGAGAGAGAGAGAGAGAGAGAGAGAATGAGAGGAAGGAGGAAGAGGAGGAGGAGGAGGGGGAAGAGAGAGAGAGAAAATGAGAAAAAGGAAGAAGAGGAGGAGGAGGAGGGAAGAAGGCGGAGGAGGAGGAGGAGGAGAAGGAGGAGGAGGAGGAGGAGGAGGAGGAGGAGGAGGAGGGGGAGGAGGAATGGAGATATCTGGGGAGACTATTTCCACTGAAGCTCCACATGACTGGTGACTGGCCTGTTTTGCAAGGGTGCATTATCCAGGGAACAAATGTCCCATTTCCATAAACTCACCTGTAAAAGGCAGGAGTGAGAGAGGTTGCATAGGACAAAAATCAGTGGAGGAAGGACTTTATTTTTATTAAGCTAGAAGAGACATGCAAATAACGTAGGTAAATGCCACAGCCCATTTTGTAACCACTAGTTAGCCCAGAATATCCCAGCCAAGCGGCATTCAACGCCCTAAGACACATGCCTGCAAACAGATCAAAACAAATCAGTGTTCAGGATTTCGCTCCCTGTGTTCCGCGCCTCCTGCGTTCTCACAAAGATAACACTTCCTCTCCTGATTTATCCGCTCAGAAGAAGTGCCAGCCCTGGAGCCCTGCAAAGCTCCTGCAGAAACTGCCACAACACCCGTGCAAGCAAAGAGGGCGGCACCTCTGTGAATGTGAAAACAGCCCTGGGCCCAGCACAGCCCCCTGGGCAGGCATTGTCCCACGGAATTCTGGCAGTCTGATCTCTCAGTCAGTCCTTCCTCAGAAACACTGCATCGTAAATCATGACAAGGAATCCTTCCCCTTGGACAGAAGATGTCTCTGCAGGGGGTAAGGAAACCCCTGCCTTGTGAGTTTCTTTGAAGACATTTCCATAGTTCCACATCTCTGTATCTCTAGATGGTACCCAGCATGTGTACTGATAGAATGCAAAGCCAGCATTCCTGGCTTATGGAGACGCACAACATTGAAGCCCAGTGGGTCAAAGAAAGAAGCTCTGAATGGCCATTAAATTCCTCTCTCTGTACTTAGTCCCACCCTCCAGCTTCTACAGGATAATGTCAACCCACTGTTCACGCCCCGTGAAACTGGGCTGCAGATCCCTCTTGATGTTGTTTTCTCTTGGCCACGTGGAGGGATGGTTCAAGCCACCTGGTCTACCTTGCCAGCTCCTTGCCTTCACTAGAGCATGCATGCCAAGTCCTCCTCATCCTCCTCCCTGCTCAGTGCTCCCAACCAACATGTCCCCCCGACCTAATTCCTAATCTCCTCCCTACCTTCTCTTAATTCCATATAGTACAGGTTTTGGCATCAACTGCACAGAGTTGGGGATCACATATAGCTTCTTATATTCCAGGTATTTATCCAACCAAAGTTTATTGAGGAGTTATTTGGGGCCATAGAGTACACCTAAAAGTTCTTGCCTGCTTGGAACTATAGTTCCAGTGGCACACTTAAAAAAAAAAACCCACAAACAACAAAAAAGCACACACCACAATTACACAATTGATATTCAAATCCTTATCTTTTTCTCTATTTTCTTTTTCTGTGCTACTTTCTATTTTTTATTAACCAACCTGCAGGTTTAAATGAGATTTGCACTATCTTAGAGTCAAACCCAAACTTTTATTCGTCTTTCGGAAGAATAACAGTTGGGAGCTGGCAAGCTGCCAAGATTCGATAGGGCCGTCTCAGCCTTTGTGAATCTCATGTCGGGGCCTGCAGGTGGGGGCTGGCGGCCACCTAGAAGAAGCCGCAATCCCCAGGGTCGCAGAGGTACTCGCTCTCGCACTCCGTGGTGTCAGTGTCGGCTTTGGTGTCGGTGTTGGTGTCAGTGTCGGTGTCAGCAGCCGCCTTCACGCCGCCGTAGCGGTGGATGAGCAGGCGGCTGCCCTGCACACTCTGCGCCACCACGTTGGTGCCGTGGCAGGCCATCAGCAGCCGGTTGCGAGGCTGCACGCGGTGAGCGAAGCGCATGAAGGCCAGCGAGTAGAAGATGAGCGCCGTGGTCATGCGGCCGCTGATGATCTCCGGGGACGCCTTCATGTCCTTAAAGGCAGCCAGCGGCAGGCCCCAGTTGAATACAGGACCCCAAAGGTGTGTGCTGGTCACATAATCCCGAAACTCCTTGGTCTTCACGTAGTCCCATGCTTTCCGCCACAGCGCAATCATCGCTGCCATGTCTCCGAGCCGTGGTCACCGCCGTGGTCACCGAGCCGTGGGGGCGCGTGGTCACCGCCGTGGTCACCGAGCCGTGGGGGCGCCAACGGCCGAACAGCCAGCTCACAATGACGTGGGCGTGGAGACAGAAGCCGAAGCCGCTGTAATCCTTACCTTCTCTCCCCGATGAAAGGGGAGACTGGGAGACACTGTGTTGTACTAAGCAGAGCAGGGGCTTCCACGTTAGAGGCACCTTTTCTTCAAGTGTCAACTCTGTGCGGAGGAGGTTGTGCCAATCAACGTCTCTGAGGCTCCGTTTCGCCCCTTGTGAAATGAAGCCATCCATACCTACTTCTCGGGTTTCTTGAGAGGTTTCAATATTTTAACACATAAAGTTTTCTTGCATTAAGTGGTTGCTCATTAAACATGGATTGAACAAATGGAATGCATCTTTAAGTCTGTGGGAGATGATATAGAAATGGCATCTATATATGGAAATAAGTATCTTGTTGCTCCTCCAAACGAAGGAAAATAAACACAAAAATATGAGCAGTTAAAAAATGTTCTGACAAAAAATAAATCTTTAAAAATCTCATGTGATTATTGATTGAGTGCTTACTATGTACCTGTCATTGGGGTGATGAATTTAATTTTACCCGGGTACCTCTCAAAACCAATGTGTGAGTAAATAACTTATTTTACAGATTTCAAATTAAGGCTTAGAAAAGCAACAGGGCCAGTAAGTATCAGATCTGTCTGTGTATGCCTTACTGTCCAGAATCCTGACTATCACATAGCAAGAGGTTTTTGAACATACAAGGATTTTCACAAACACACTGGCATAAGCTGCACCAAGGCTGCAACTCTGAATTATTAAATGTTTGCATTCAGTATGCTTGGCTGACTTGTACTCACAGCAAGCTCAGTAAGTGTTTAATAAATAAAGTTTTGTATAAAAATAAATGTCCAATTCAAAGTAGTCTGCCATAGACATAAGAAGGTCACTTGTGTAACTCTAGTATTACAAATTGTGTGTTTTCCAAACTCTCTACAATTTCGCATTTGTAAAATTGGGGCGTTCTCATCTTCTGAAAGTGGATCTGATTCCTAAGGATGACCAAAACTCATTCTAGAATCTAGACCAAAGCTGGAAACAAAAGAGTGTCATCAGGCTGAGTACAGCTATGGCATGACTATGAAGTCATACAACAGATTCTCCCTCCAAGTAAAATTCAGATAAAGGATTCATAGCAAATACTCCTTTGCTCATGTGCATATGGCCTCTCACTGTACTCCACTGTGTGATAGATTTGATTGATGGAAAAAACATGTCACTGAAAGAGGGCAATTTACCTCCATTTCTATTTTCACTCCATTTGGAGGAAATGCATTATTTGCACATGTAGAACCATGAGCAGACTCTACCTCGAGATACCACCTTCATCTGTCACTGTGAGTTATATAACACTGCATTTGCAGAGTGATTTATGGTTTTAACATGCTCTGCTGTTAGCTAACTTCACAGTACCTCGAAGGTAGCTGTTATTTCACTTCCCTGTTTTTTCTTAAGCCTTTCAAGGACGGTCCACTCACATATGTTTTTTTGCCATACCGTAGTAACCTTAGAAAGTCAGTAATTTTCTTTTTGGGTTTTTGCCTTTTTTTTTGCAAACTGTACTCATATTGTTTTCAACTTTGTTTTATGTTTTAAATATTACAACATCATGCATGTTCAGAAAAGCCATTTTCTCTACATGGAAGTCAATGCACACCACAATACTACAACACCAATAGCAATGAGGGGGGGAAAGTTGGATTACCTACCCTTCTTTTTCTCATTGCTTTTGGTGGAATATATGTACACCTATGTTCATTGCAGCATTATTTACAATAACCAATATTTGGAAGCAGCCCAAGTGTCAATCAGTAGAAGAATGGATAAAAAAACTGTGGTACTTTTACCCAATGCCTTTGCAAGAACAAGGATGGACCTGGAGAACATTATGCTAAATGAAATAAGCCAGTCAGAGAAAGACAAGTACCATATGGTTTCACTCATATGTGGAATTTAATGAACAAATTGAACTATTAAACAAAATAGAGACAGACTCATAGAAAACAGGTAGACAGCTCTGGTGGTGGTGGGGATTGAGCCAAAAAGAAAAAAATGAGAACTCATGGACATAGACAACAGTGTGGTGATCAAGGTGCGGGGAGGCGGAAGATGGCAGAGAGGGGATAAATGGTGATGGAAAAAGTCAAATAAAATAAAAATTTTAAAAAGGCAGACTAATATAGTTACAGAATTCAAAAATAAAAATTCTTCACATCTCAGTAAACATCATAGGCAAAGTTTAAAGATAGAAGACAACTGGCAAAATAATTTGGAAACTTTATATAACATTGTAGGTTGCAATATTTGCACTTATCCAGGGATTTATAGTTTTCACACAGCATAGTTACACAATTGTCACTGAAACTCATATGTGTAATCTCAAAAAAATTTACGAAGTCAAACTCATAGAAATAGAAAGGAGAAAAGTGGTTACCAGAAACAGGAGGTGGGAGAAAAAGGGAGAGGGTGGTAAAAAGTACAAACTTTTGCTTATACAATTAAGAATAAGGTCTGAGGATCTAACATATAACATGGTGCCAATACTTCATTGCACCACACTGTATAATTAAAATTGGCTACAAGAGAAGAATGTAAGTGTTGTCACGAAAAACATAAAGGTAAATGTGTGAGGTGAAGGATGTGTTAATTAACTGGATGGGGTGATCCAATCACAATGTTCATGTAGATCAAATCATCACGTCATACATGTGAAATTCCTTACACTTGTACTTGTCAATTATACCTCAATAAAACTGAAAAAATAGATTCAAGTATCAGAAAAAAATGATGATGGAAGGAATTAAAAAACACCAAAAATAATATAAGACATGAGTTATTATTACTAGTAACAATAGTAAATAAACTTGGTTGCCAGGATCCCAACTCATGGCTGATGATAGATAAGGGCATCCAATTGCAATTTCCTTTAGCTCTATTGTGTGGCTAAGTGACAAACTTTATTCATATTATATTCCTTTTCAGGAGGAAAAAGCTGGGGATCCAGGGTAAAATCCCATGACTACTTTCTCTTGTGTCATTGGAAATATAAAGCAGAAAGTTTTATATTATATCTCTTGCTAAAGGCGTATAAACCAAAAACAGAATCAAGTTGATTCCTAAACAGAGGGGTTTAAACAGCAATGTACAAATTTTATTCAGTCTCAGGGCCATTTGCAGTTGTGTTTTAAACCTCATTGGCTACGATGCTGCCACTGCGCAAAGCTGCAGCTGTGTTTTAAGAAGTGCATAAAGACAATACCAACCATGTTTAAGAGCAAGTGATAACCTACTAGCTTTGTGCTTTACCAGGAAGGAAAAATAACTCCTTAGTGGTGTCAAATGTTTCATGTCCTATTCAGAGATTACCCCCAAGTCCCTTGTAACAAAAGCCTAGCCTGAAATTCATGTGCTGAAATGCTAACCCCCAGCACCTCAGAATGTGAGTGTTTGGAGATAGGGTCTCTGGTGAGGTAATTAAGTTAGGTTGAGGTCATTCGAGTGAGCTCTAATCCAGTATGACTGGTGTCTTTATAAGCATAGGAAGATCTGAACAAAACTACTGACAGAAAGATGAGGCGACAACAGAGCAAACATGGCCTTCTACAAGATGAGAGGCCTGAATAGAACTCGCCCTCCTGACCCTTGGAAGGAACCAACCCTGTAGACATCTTGATCTCAGACTTCTAGCCTCCAAAACTGGGAGAAAATAAATTGCTGTTGTTTAAGCCACCCGTCAGTGTTGCTTTCTTATGGCAGCCTTTGCAGACTAATGCAGGGACTGAGTTTAGTCCAAATGGCAATTTCTTAACAGCCATGATGAATGTCTGGAACCTGAGCTGGGACAGTATCCCCATGAAAGACAGACATACATATTCATGTAGGGGTAATAAGGTATGGGAAAAGCATGCAATTATAAAAGGTAGATATAGATGTGGAAGCACAAAGAAAAATCATTTAATAACAAAATCAAGTGATGGATTTTTTTCTGTTCATGTAGATGTATTTTTCCTGGAAACTTCAAAAGACTTTTGCTATCTTCATATTAAAAAAAAAGTGACTGCATGCATCAAAAGGAAGATGCTGGTTCTAATCAGAATGCTCAACACACGGTAACTAAAGTTAAATGAATATATATATGTAATTGCCCTTAAATGAAGGATTCATTTCAGAAGTTTTGAGACTGGAGTGAGTCATCTGGAATTAAATAATGGAATGGACTAGAATCGTGTGCCTTTCTCCAGCAGAACATGTATTAGGAAAAAGCAATTGTTTGATGATGTGTGGGGCATAAGCAGATCTATTTGTATTCTGCCCTTTGAAAATAGTCCTTGTATATGCACATTTTTATGTCATATAGCTCAAGGGCTGGTGATTACCTCTTTAAAGGAACTGCTAACCATTTCAGGAAATTGTTGAATATCTGAAAATGATTTCAGAGTGTGAAAACATTTTATACACTTCACAAATAAAATGCAGTCAGCTGGAAGGGACTACCTTATATTGCTGGCTCTATTTTGCATGTTTTTAATACTTTTAAGAGTTAGATGGTTTAATCTTTGGGTTCTTTGATAAGATACAGGTGTTACATTAATACACTTCAGTAAGTGTCCTCCATTCACTTAATGTGAGTCTTCAAGTTTGCCTCCTGACATGGCATTTTCTGCTGATGGCAAAATAGTAAGAAGATTCATGGGTCTTTTTCTTTAGATCTTTTTTTTTTTTTCTGCTTCCAGTCAAACCTACAGTTAATAAACAGAAAAAGTTCACTCGGAATTGATCCAAAAAGAAAAAGGAAACAGTAAAATTGCAGGCTATAATCTCTAACAAATTTGGGCTTGAAACCAGGTTTAGAGTAATACCCTAATTAGTTCATTTTGCTGACAAGAGAAAACCCAAATAAAGAAAAACAGACAGACATGCAAAGCTATTAGTGTGGGCTCGCTGCTTCTGTAGACTAGCACCTTGGTAACTTGCTGGACCTCATTACATTCCTATGAGTTATGGCCTTGGGTCTAGAGACCGTGCTCATCTATAAATTTCATCATTTAAAAATACACAGTTCCAGGGGGTTAAGATAAACTTTATTTTGCCACTATGTAGTTCTTTAAATGCATGAGTGAATTTACATCTTTCTTTACAATTAAGTGTGGACTGTATTTACTTTATTATTAATTTTATTTTTGTTTTTTTTAGGGCTAAGGGATACACATATCAGACTGAGAAAATGTCTACCTTTTCCTGTCATCCAGAAGACTTAATAAAATGGAAATTAACTTTAATTGGAAGTTTGGAAGAACTTTCCATTTAAGTTACTGGTAATGAAGCCGATTTCCAGAATTATAGATCAAACTAGTCTACTTCTTAAATAACTTCTATGATTTTTGGCCCTATATGCTTGACATATTGTATTCTATTTTTTCATACTTTATATTTTCTCAGAAATTATCCATTTGATCTAAAAATATGAAATTCCAAATATATTGGTATAATGTTCAAGATAAAGATTCTCCAATTTTTAAAAAATAACCATATATTTGATTTAATATCGTTCTGTTTCCAAACTCATTAGAGGAATAAAAAACAAAAGAGGAAATTCTAACAATTGAACAAAAGTCTGAAATAAAAAGAAAAATATGAAACAAAAAAAATGGAACATATAGAGAATATCAAGTAAATATCAATAAGACCAATGATAATCATCATTATTCTAATAAATATAAAAGTATCAAATTACCATATCAACTAACACAGATTATGAAACAGGGTTGAAATAGAGTTGCATTCCCTTTACAAGTATGCATCAAATCAGGAGGACATCATACATTAAAATATAAAAATATCCTGAATTTTAACTAATAATTTGCATATAATAGCAGATATTAATTTTTAGGTGGAACAAACTTAGAATTATTTACTGGTTTGATCACAAAATAAATATGTCATTACAAGGTAGGTCAGAGGGAGGTGTGTTGGAAAAGGCCAATACAGTATTATTGCCTATAATCACTATGCTGTGTATTAAATTTCCAGGACTGATTTATCTACTAGTTAAAGGATTGGTACTCCTCAACACCATCTCCGCAATTCTCCCACCACCCAGTCCCTGCTAACTGTCATTCTCCTCTCTGTTTTCACAAGTTCAGATTTTTCATATTCCACATGTAAGTGAGATCAGGAGTTGCCTTTTTAAACTGCTTTTTTAATTTTTCCATGCCCTGAGCTGTTGGAGAGCTGGGAAGGAAAGAATAGTTGAAGGAAGGCCCGGGTTTGCTCACCCATAATAAATTCAAAATCTTCAACAGAGCTCCTCACCCATCCATCGGTCAACACACTTTGGGTTAATATCATTGCACTGATTCTGCCCACTCTTTCAGGAGGATCTGTGCAGAGCTGCCACTTGATTTAAGAAATATTGCTCAGCGTGGCTTAGAGATAATAAACTTCACCGGAGAGCCAAGGGGGTTGACTTCTCCCTGGAAACCTGCTCTTTCAGAGTTTTGCTTTGTTTTATTGGAGAGCCACAGAATTGGTATTTTTGTCCCCAGATAAAATCTTTCTCTAAATAACCACGCAATAAGGTGCGGTTAGAGCTGAGTGACAGGATGTAATGAGAACGTTTGTGTGCTCAAACACTGGATTTTTTTTTTTCCCTAACGAAGAAATATAAAACTAAATAATTCATGTAACATTACTGACTCCCACACTATTGATTATAAGTGCCGTTGTCAATTTGCTGCCCCTCTAGTCATCCCCAAAAGGTTATTATTTACAGATTGTGGTATTATTTGCTGCCAGGATTCCATTAAAAAAAAAAAAGTATAAACAATGAGAAGAAATTCTTAGCACACTATAGAGTTCATTTCCTTTCCTTTTGAAAATAACCTAAGCTGCATGTCTGGTTTTTAATTAATCAGATGCCAAGAGCTGATCCTAAAATTTCAAGTCGGAACAAAATGAGTGGCAAATAATGAGACTGAAATAACTGCATAGATTAAGAAAAAAAAGTTATTAGAATGAATTTCTTTATGAATTAAGACCAATACCAGAGTAATCAAATATTGGTCATTTTCATTGACAAAAGACTAAAATTAAGGAAGTTGTTTGTTTACTTATTTATTGTTAACCCTCACCTGAGGACATTTTCCCATTGATTTTTAGAGAGTAGAAGGGAGAGGGAGAGACAGAGAAACATCAATGTGAGAGAGACACATTGATTGGTTGCCTCCCACTGAGCCTGCAAGAGAGGTACATGCCCTTGACCAGAATGGAACTTGGGACCCTTCAGTTGAGGGCCGACGCTCTGTCCACTGAACCAAAATGGCTAGGGTGGATATATTTATTTATTGGACTACAAGATAACAGCAATTTATTTTATTATAAGAGAAACATTTGAAATATGGCAAGCTATAAACATTATCATTTATTAGCAATTAGGATTTTTTGGGTTAAAAATTAAGGAATTGCCTTGAAGAGTTTTCTTTCCCTCTTCAGGAGGTTGAGAATATTCTATGCCTCCCACTTCCATGACCAGGTTGATAACAAGCTCTGCAACATGTCAGTGTATGAACCTGCAGAGGTATTATTAGGAAAAAACACTGTTATGTCACCCAAAAAGATCCTCTGAGCTGATACCAATAACAGTGGGGCCCTTCCTACTTTTTACAAAATGCTGTTTTGAGATGCTCTTTACAGTAAGTCACACAAGCAACCAGAACATTAATAATTTATAATTCCAGATTTTCTTGGAGCTGGGTCAATGGTTTGTAAATGTAAGCTTCACACAATTTATTCTAAGATTTGTGACAGGTATTTTCTTACCTGTCAAAATTATCACTAAGGTACGATTTCAGCAGTCTGAACTACAGATGGATCAGAGAGACCGCTCCAGGGCCCCAACAAACCACTCACCCAAAGGCATTATTCAACTCCCTGAGGGTGAAAACAGGTATAGGCTGGGTAGTTGCCTGGGTTTCTTACAGTCTTAACTACATTCCACAATACTTTTCCCATATATATCTTCCAGCTCAAGACTGTGAGGGACCCCTAATGTATTCTAGTTACCAGACATAGCATTTGGTATATATATGGGTGATGAATGCAGAGTAGTTGAATTCAATTCAACTATCCACTTTATTCATAATACAGTTTTCAAATAAAATAACTGGAACTGTTTATCTTTTTTCTGTGCACAATCATAGACAAAGCCAGAAACATACACACACACACACACACACACACACACACACACACAACCATATCCGCTCTCAATAACACACTTATTCACTGAGAAATTAACTACTTACACCCATTTTGTTCCCTTTTAAATAATAAAATATCATCTGAATTGCTTAACAAATTACAGCCACCCACCTGGCTGGCTTTGCCCCAGTATTTAGCATACCTATAGCACTTTGGATTTGCCAAGTGTTTTATAATTCTTATTCTCTTGGCTATCACACTTCTGATGAGTAGCCCTATTTCAAGGGTACGTTATTATCTTCTGGTTGCTTCTATAAATCACTCAGTAGGAGAAATAAAGGATCAGGTGGGATGTCCTTGCACATTAGTTTGAGAGTTCTATTCAGAGGATTCATATTTCAACCAAGTGGAAAACTTTGGAATAAATAGTATAATGTGAATTAAATCACCATTACTTTCTTCACAATTTATACTTATGATTCATGTGAAACTGCTCTTCAACTTTCTAAAGCCAACTTTCTGCTGAAACAGACTTGTCAGTAAATCACTGATCCGCTGATGATTTTTCAGATTCCATGACATCTTTTTTTCTTCTTTTATATCACATCATGGACTCTGAGTCCCCTGAGATAGTCATATTTCACCTTTAGCTAAAGAAATAATACAAACCTGGGTATATTGAGTGCACATTTAAATTTTTTCTGATTTTTCAATAAGTACACTTTCAGAAATATATCAGTTATGAATCATGTTGCCTTTAGCATTTTTCACCGTCATTTGCTTATATCTGCCGATTATACATCAATATATCTCAGAGCTTCAGAAGCAGTAAATGACATATTATACATGAAACTGCAAATCAACAGCCAGTATCGACTGCTGTTTGTATAATACAGTATTATCCACCATTATTCTCCACACAAACCCTTCAGACTGTGAACACTAATTCATTTAGTACTGCCACACAGATCCATCACCTGTCTCAATTCTATTCTATGATCTTGCATGTCTTTCCCTATTTCCAATGCTCATTTAAATTTTAACAACCATTTCATAAACAATACTCACTTCAAGAGCCTATACCATCTATTGTAATCCACAGATTTCTTCAGGAGTGTGCAATGAAAAATTAGTGAGAAGACTTAGTTTTTACTAGTCCTAGGACAAGCACATCCTTTATTTCCTATATATAGTCTAGACTCATTCACAAAACTGGATAATTATATCTATTTCTCAAGTACGCAATTATTTTAAAACAACTTTAAAAATTAATCATCAAAAGCTATAATGTATAAATTTTTAAATTTCCACAAGCTCCTATTGCACTTGGAATCTATGCAAGCTGCTTCTTCTTTTTTTCAATAGGTTTTTATTGATTTCAGAGAGGGGAAGGGAGAGAGAGAGAAAGATCCATTGGTAATCTCCTGCCTGCCCTCTACTGGGGATGGAGCCCAGGCATATGCCTTGACTGGGAATTGAACCAGCCACCTCTGGGTGCACCAGACAATGCTCAATCCACTGATCCACACCAGCCAGGGCAGATGGCAAGTTCTATGAGGCTCAAGAATGTATACAGTATTTTTATTGTGTTCTGCATAGCATGTGGTACAGTGCTGGCCATACACGTGAGTCAGTACAATTTGATTATAGATGGATTGGTTCTTCCTCTTATTCATTCAATTAGATAAGGACATGGATTAACAAATGCATTTACCTTGATGGATCTCATTTAACATTTCATTACCTCTTCACAAGTGATTAAGGCATTTGTGTTCAGAGTTTCTTCCTGTAACAAAACATTGGAGAAATAAATAAACAAACAAAACAGGCATACATTAGTGATGGGAGTGAAAGAGTTTTAGGATAAAGCAGTGATGTAATTGTTGAAGAGAAGATTGCATATATTGAGAAAAGCTGAAACTAAGCAGGAGTTAGCCAAGATAGGCAATAGAGCAGTGGCTCTCAACCTTGGCTGCACATTAGAATCACCTAGGAATCTTTTAAAAATCCTGATTTCCGGGCCTCATCCTCTGGAAATTCTGTTTCTTTGTTACTAATGTTGTGGCCCCACCGCATAACAAAGAAACAGAATTCCTGGAGGATGAGGCCCAGAAATCAGGATTTTAAAAAGATTCCCAGGTGATTCTAATGTGCAGCCAAGGTTGAGAACCACTGCAATAGAGGAATCTGAAAATGGTCTGCCTTAGGACAACTCAAAAGTTCCTTCTATGCCGAGAGCAAACTGGAAGCTGTGGGAAAGCTATGTGATTTGGGGACCACCATGTTCTAGCTTTGAGATGTTAATCAACTAGGTTAAACTCTGATTTTAAGGGTTCTCATGTATAACACCTGGTTCAGGAGAGTAGGGAATGGTTTTTAGCAACTTTTAATTTTATTCAAAAGCACGTTCCTCTAAAACATTAGTCTTAGGAGGAGTGAACAGGAAAAAATATGAGTAGATGACTAATATAATTAAGCACATACCCAAGGTCAGACCCGGTGCATGGATTCATGCACCTGTGGGGTCCCTCGGCCTGGCCTGTGCCCTCTTGCAATCCAGGACCCCTTGGGGGATGTAGGAGAGCCAGTTCCAGCCTGATCCCTGCAGGCCAGGCCGAGGGACCCCACCAGTGCACAACTGGGGCCGGAGAGGGACTGTGGAAGGGTTCTAGGGTGTGTCCGGCCCATCTTACCCAGTCCTGATTGGCTGGACCCCAGCAGCAAGCTAACCTAACAGTCAGAGTGTCTGCCCCCTGGTGGTCAGTGTGCATCATAGCAACTAGTCAAACATTTGAACTGTCAGACACTTAGCATATTAGGTTTTTATTACATAGGAGGATATATGTATATATAATTAACATGACAGTAGTCAGGCGTTTAAATACTTTCCTGAAAAAAATTATAATCATTATAATCAGTGTCTGCTTATATATTTGTAATTTACCAAATTGAATGAAAGGGATAAAACTTTCTCTCTATACTCATGGCTTTTGAACATGATTTGTTCATTTATTATTAACTAGAGGCCTGGTAGATGAATTCGTGCACCAATGGGGTCCCTTGGCCTGGCCTGCAGGATTGGGCCAAAACCGGCTCTCTGACATCCCCTGAGGGGTTCCAGATTGTGAGAGGGTGCAGGCCAGGGACCTGAGGGACCCCACCGGTGCACGATTGGGGCCAGGGAGGGATGTGGAAAGTTGGCCAGCAGGGAGGGGCCGCGGGAGGGCTCCAGGGCGTGTCTGACCCCTCTCGCTCAGTCCCCATCAGCTTGACCCCAGCAGCAAGCTAACCTACCAGTCAGAGCTTCTGACCCCTGGTGGTCAGTGCACGTCATAGTGAGTGGTTGAGCAGCCTAGCATATTACGCTTTGATTGGTTGAACAGACAACCGGATGACTGGACACTTAGAATATTAGGCTTTTATTATATAGGACTAGAGGCCCAATGCACGAAATTCGTGCAAGGGGCTCAGCCCTCGCAGTCTCGGCTTCGCCCGGAACGTTGTCCAGAAGTTCGTTGGGCTGTCTGGTCTAATTAGCATATTATGCTTTTATTATTATAGATGAGCCTTTTTAAAGTTCCCATGAAACAATTTTGTCCAAACCTTTCATGTGCATATTTGATATTAAGTTTTTTATTGCAGAAGTTTAACCTTGGATGTAATAGCCATTTTTTATCTAAGTTATTTGAAATATAATACATCTAAAAATCCATGTATACTGCTGTCATAGCAATTTTATCCAGACACAATATATATTTACATTATATTTGATATTTAAAAAAATATCTGGGTGTATATTCAAGATTATCACAATGAAACAAGAATTAACTATAATGCTTACTCTATTTTTCCTCACCATTTATTTAGAAACTTCCCAAACCCACATAAAAGTTGCAAGAATAGTACAATTAGTGATTCTAGGTGAAAGTTACATCAGATCCACATCCTTTACTTAGAATCACCAATTGTAAACATTTAGCCACATTTGCTTTATCTACTTGACACTTCAAATATATACAATAAGAAGTCTTCATAATGTGTTTTTTAAACCTAGAAGTGACTAAAGGCAGAGGATCGGGGCCAAAGTCATGTGCTATTCCTTTTCCCTTTCTTTTTAAATGTATTTATTTTTATTGCTTCAAGTATTACATATAATATTACATATGTCTCCCTTTCCCCCATTGACCTCCCCCTGGCCATCCCCACCCCCCAGCACATGCCCTCACCCCCTTAGTGTCTGTGTGCATTGGTGATGTCCTTCTCCCTTTCAAATGAGGTTCACTCCACTGAAGACTGGGAACTCTCACTCCTCTCATTTTCTTATTCTACCATCTGAAGTTACACAATGCAGTTTCATAGGGGGAAAACTGCTTTTGATCATGAAAGACCAATTATCTAGAAATTAACTGTACCTGCTTATAAGATGTTGAGCAGAAATGCCCTCCTACAGAGCTGTGCTTTGGCTATCTCTGGGCTTTTTATCATCCATTATACATCTTGGTACACATTTTTTATTTGGGACACGTTTAATAGTCACCTCAAACCTTGTTTTACATTAGGCAGTGTAGAAGAAGCAAAACAGGACGAAAGCATATTTTAAATTTCATTTTCTACACAAGACTCTTGAGGACCAAGCAGAAGTTTAACCTTGGAGGTCCTGGCCTCCCTGGGGCTCCCCCATCATGAGTGTCCTCAACAGCATAGGCCGGCTTCATCCCTGAGCCACTGCTCATCTCTAGAGGGAAGATGGTAGAATGAAAAGAGGTAAATCGTCCCAGCAGGACATCACGTACTTTTTTGCTTATAAAAATAAAAACCGCTTTCCTGCAGCTGGCCAGGGTTCCGGGGTCAGGATGGGGCTACTGAAGCATATCATGCTCCTGTATCATACTTGACCTCTGAGTGCTCCTTAGGAAATCATGAATAATATGACTTCTCTCAAAGGCACTGAAACTTTTACTTCCAATAATCATTTAAACCATTGCTTCACAGATTGGACACATCAAAATCAACTGGGGAAGGTTGTTTTCCCTGTTCTGGCTTCAAGCAGAAGTTCACCCAAGACCAACCAATTGGACTTTCTAGGGTTTATGTGTATTTTTTTTTTAAATTCCTTATTGTTTAAAGTATTACATATAGTTTTACATATGTCTCCTTTTCTCCCATTGACCTCTCCCTGGCCACCTCCACCCCCCCAGTACATGCCCTCATTCCCCTAGTGTCTGTCCATTGGTTATGGTTATATGCATGCATACTAGTTCAAATCCTTTGGTTGATCTCTTACCTCCCCACCCCCTTCCCTCTGAAGTTTGACGATCTGTTTGATGCTTCTCTGTCTCTGGATCCATTTTTGTTCATTAGTTTATGTTGTTCATTATATTCCACAAATGAGTGAGATTATGTGATAGTTACCTGTATCTGACTGGCTTATTTCGCTTAGCATAATGCTCTCCATGTCGATCCATGATGTGAATGGTAAAGTGTTATTTTATTTTAATAAATCACCTGAGGTGATCCATGTTCTTGTGATTCTGATAAGCACCACTGATTAAGAATCCATGACTTTAGATGCAGTGGTCACTAACACAAAGGCTAGCAAGTTTAGGCTTACATTTGCAAAAGAGCTAACAACTGATCTGTCCATAGTATTTCAAGGATGGAGAATATCTGGTTACCTAGAATTTCCATAGTCCTTGACTTCGAACCTATTCTTATTTTCAATGGCTGCACAGATTTTAAGATTTTAGATTTTAAGCTAAATAACAAAAAAACTTCCATATTAAAACAAAATATTTCCAAAGCTTATGACTTTTATGTTACTTATCTTTCTGATTGCTTAAGCATTAAGCAATTAACTTTTAGAACATGCACTTAAAATCTTCAATTAAAATAAAACCTATGCTTTTTTTAAAAATTAGAAACCTTTAACTATTGACACGATAATGATAAATACATCATTATATAAGCATATTCAATTATTCATTCGTTTATTTCACAAAATGTTATTGAATGCATACCTCGTGCCAAGGATGTTTCAGGAACTGGGACTACAGCCTTGAAAAAGGAAGTCTCTGGCCATTCAGCGCACACATTTAGTGTGTATTTAAGCAATAAGCAGGCAGTAAGCAATTACTATATGTTATAAACACATGATTGAAAAAATAAAGCACCAGAGTGAAGGGGTTAGAGAGCTGAAGGCCGGGTCTAATTTAGATAGGAGGGTTAATAAAGGGTGAATGGCAAGGGGACTTAGACTAAGGAGGAAGTGAGTCCTGAGGACCCAGAACAAGATTCTAGCCAGAGGGAATAGCAATTCCCCTGGGTCTGGTGAGCTTCCCACGGACATCTCCCCTTTCTAACTAGTGTTACCCCAGATCTACTTCCTGATGGTTCATTTCATGATTCCAAGACACCTTCCAAAAGATAACCATTAGGAAACTTTGGAGACAAAGAGTTTATTACTTTCAGGCCTTGGAGCACCAGGCATGCCAGGGGCACACAGCAAGTCATGGATAGAGAACACTCGAGGTTCTGGCCTGAATTTATTGGGGTCCAGGGTAGGGGCCTAGGGTTTTGAGGACTCACTCTTTATTGGTGAATTTAGAACATAAGAGCAAGAATTTAAAGCATAGAAAGAAGAAAACAAGCGGCCCACATGGTTGGTTATTGAAATCAACCAAGTTCTCTAAAACAAGTGGCCAGAATGATGAAGACAGAGAGAATGGATTCATGTGAAAAAAATTAAGTGAAAAATGTCCTGTTTCTCCTATACAATTTTCAGTTTCACTTAACTGCCTCATACACCCAACTTCATAAATGCTGGACAAAATGTTTTTGGATTTTTTGTTGGAAAGAGAAGGCACTGCATTAACATGGGCACTGATGATGGCGTTAGCCCTTACATTTATAGCCTCACACCACCTGGGTCTAAGAAGGAAACAGTATCAACTGGCTGGCTGGCTTATGCTTAAATATTTTTAGTGTGGGACCTCCGGGCCTCCCAAGGACGACCCGTTCTATCTGGAGATTCCTTTTGTGGACTTTTCCCTTACTTTGACCTGTGTTGCCTGTCACCCACCCCCAATACAGTCACAGTTTCGGATATGCTGAGTAAATCCAACCCTCAACCACTGAGCCACATCAGCCGGGCAGTAATTGCCACTTTTCACCAGTTGTTCAAAAGACCTTTTCAGTTTATAGGAGATTAGAGAAATATTGAGGGCTTAGAGAAATGTTGAGGGCTTATCACTATTGTCAGAAAGACATGCAGAAAAATAAAAATGATTTTCCTATCTTAATTCAATATCCACTAGTATTCTAAATCTGTGTCTAAATCACATTTATATCTACCTAAACCCTACTGGATACTTATATCCCCTTAAGTGTATTCATTTCCATTAAAAGCACAAAATTCAAAAGATTTTCAGATGAAATTAAAAAATTTTATCCAGCTTTTATATAGTTGGTGTATGAAGCAGTTAAGTGAAACTGAAAATTGTGTAGAACAGGTTATTTTTCACTTTTAGTCTTTTGTAATTAAGTGTAATTTCAATAGTAAATAATTTTTTTTTCATTTCTACCCAAAATGTTATAACTTATAGAGGCCAAGCAAATTAAAACATATTAGGATTTTACATTCTTAATGCCCTTGTTTTTATATAAATTCAAATGAAGTGAGAAGAGAAATACATGAAGTGGGTAAGTAAATGTTATAGTTAATTGTGGGGCTGTTGCTACGTGCCAGCCATGCTTAAAATATGCCCTACATGTAATTCACTTAATTTTCATAATCCAATGAAATAGATGCCACCATTTGCCTAGGAGCAGAGAGGTTGTTACCCACTTTACACAGGTGAGTGAGGAAGCAGGGCCTGGAAGCCAGGCAGTGTGACACCAGGGCTGCCCAGCCCTGCAACACGACTCAGCTGCTTGGGAGGGAGGGGACTGTCATACCCGCATTGAATTTATACCCAGCTGAACATGCTCTGTCACTCTTATTAGAAGTAGCCTGTTCTAACCAGCTACTCTGTACATGTCCTCAAGATGTGTGGGAAAGACTTTTAAGCTATTGTACCTGTGCCAGAACAATTTTCAGTAAGAGATAAGCCCATGGTATAAAACATGAAACATGAATTTTAAAATTAACATTTGTGTAAACACTTATTTTTCCATAATAGACTCTCCTCATCTGGTGTTTTTATTTTATTTTTCCCATCAACATTTATTCCCTCTATGTGATGCTATTTTATAAGAAAATCTTGAGGCTCTGGAGCAGTGGTCCTCAACCTTCTTCATGCCGCGACCCTTTAATACAGTTCCTCATGTTGTGGTGACCCCCAACCATAAGATTTTTTTGTTGCTACGTCGTAACTGTAATTTTGCTACTGTTATGAATCGTAATGTAAATATCTGATATGCAGGATGTAATTTCATTGTTACAAATTGAACATAATTAAAGCGTAGTGATTAATCACAAAAACAATATGTAATTATATATGTGTTTTCTGATGGTCTTAGGCGACCCCTGTGAAAGGGTCGTTCGATCCCCAAAGGGGCTGCGACCCAAAGGTTGAGATCCGCTGCTCTGGAGTCTCATTTTATAATAACATAAATGAGGGGTGGCCGCACGGTGTTCAACATCACAATTGAGCAGTTGATCATGGACTCAAATCCAATTATTCTAACTTTAAACACTGTAATTAATATTTAAAAATAATCTGTTTTCAAAATTTCATAAAATCTATCAAACCTATGACTCTCAGGTTCTTCATGTATAATATAAAGGGATTATATTAGAATATTACTTTTCTCAAGTCTGTTCAAACTCTAAAATTGTCTCTATAATTACAAATTACTTACAACTCAATTAAAAGGAAAAAACACATTGTGGAAGATCAGTCTTAGGTGTCTTCTTTGCCTGCACAGAGAATTATTCATATCACAAGAAAAAATAAACAGTAAAAATAAGCGATTACATGTTTTCAGTTAATTTATTTTAGAAAAACAAAGGTTTACAATTGGCGTCCTAAGGCAGGATATTAGGATTCAGCTAGTAATACAGACTCTCAAAAAACCTTTATAGATTAGTCCAATGTAGAAAACTGTTGGCCCACTCTTGGACTCGGACACATTCAGGAAAAATAGATATTTATAAAAATAAAATGGCAAACCTAACCCCACTTATTGACTGTCTTAACATCCCACATTGGTGTAACTGGGCAATTTCTGCATAAGAACAGCCCAGGGATTTTTCCCTGTCATACCTTCGTATCAGATTGAATCTATGAAAATATTGAAATTATTTTTGCAAAATAAAAACAAAAGAAAACATACAAAAAAAAACCCACAACAAAATAAGACCCCTGAAACAAATCACAAGAAACAACAAAAATCCACTAACCAAAAACAATACAGCTAATTGTTTACTCATACAGACTCCTTCTTTAACCTCTAGGCATTTGGCTCCTAATGTTACTACTAAATCAGATACCAGGAAGCATGTGTGAAGAAGAAAATGAAAATTCTAGATCTAATCCATGTCAAAGAAGTTTCAGAAGCAGCAATATTAGAGAAATATTAAAGTACACAGTAAAACTAAAAGAATTGCAAGCACATGGGATGCATGGCTTGATTAAAAACATGCACTCTCTCTGAATTATCTTTGACAACTGTCTGGGCACCAGATTCAGCAACAGCAAACATCTAGAACTTTGCATTTTGGAAGTTAGAAATGAACTTTACTACTGTAACAAGGCCCACAGACTGCAAGCAATTCCCACTCTTTCTTTCTATGTAATCATAGGAAGATTCATTATAGAATTAGGATCTGTTCTACAAGATTCCTTAAGAAATCTACCTTTATTTTGAAGTGTTTTTTTTTTTTTCTTTTTTCTTTTCTGGAAATGAAAAAAAAAAAAAAGCATTTCTAATAAGCTCTAACATCACATTGAAGGGAAAAGCATACCAGTGAGCAAAATTTAAATTTGTTTTGCAAAGAGTTGACAATATCCTAGAGACATGTAAAAAGCAAAATACTAGTACAAAAAAGGAAGTCAAATTATTCACTTACAAACAATCTACATATTTTGTTTTCCCAATAGACACACTTTGAAACACAAACAGAATACGGGACAACAAACAGTATAAAGTTGTGAAAAAGGTAACAGAGACTAAAGACAAAAATCGCTGGACTTTTGTTTGTTGATACATACTGAGCTTTACTCTTTCTTTAATTTTTTTTTCCCCTTGAGGTCTTTCATTTGATACTTGAGAAAAGACAAAAAACGTGCAAATGATGGACATCTGATAGTGATAAACACAAAGCAAAAAGAAATAACATATTCTATCATTTCCTGCTTTTTGGGCAATAGCTAACTTCCTTACTAGGCTGAGATTCAAGTGAGGCATCTGTATTTATGTTGGCTTTTCACTGTTGCAAAACAAGCCTGACCCCTAGGAACATTAATATTTATCTTCCAAAAGAATCCTTCATTACTCTTTGGAGAGGAATCTACTGGTCAAATTAATAGCATTTATCTCTAAATTCCATTTAAGAACACTTCATTCTAATATTTCCTGAAATTCCTTGGGACTGCATATGTGATTCCTTACTATAAAATACTAACAGGGTGCCAAACATTAAGAATTAGTAATTATTACATATTAATAAAGTACATAGGTATAATAAAACAATTACTAGTAACTCCTCAGTACTTAAGACACAGCTTCAGTTTAGTTGTGATCAGTGAGGCATTAGAAATCACCAAAGACTGCCCTTGGGGATCAAAACCCTGCACAACTCCAGTGTCAGGACCACAAATTACAGTTTTAAAGTGAATGAACATTTTAAAACATTTGATAAAAATCTTTATATTGGATAACCCAATTACTCAAGGAAAAAAAGCCATCTAATAAAAATTCTAAACTTAGCTACAATCAAGACCTCAAAGATAAACTAATCTACAATAAACATATCAAGCTATTACTTAAAAACACCAATTTTTATGCATTCCGTCAGATAGAGATTTCCTACATCTTATTATAGAGAGAAGACGACAGGCTGAGAGGGCTGACAGAATTGAGAGGATGGAGAAGATAACTGGTCGACCTCTTAAATCACTGAGCATGATTTTGTTGACAGGCTGATTATGTCACTCATTACCCGTTATGAACATAGACATGCCCATAGTATTACATAACAGATGTATGCCAATAAATATGATATGTATATATGTGTGTGCGCACATGTATACACACACACACACATACACAGATAAGTTACCAAAAAGTTACAATGCTATAAACATAAAATATGACATATATTACTTTTTAAAAAGCAGCAGGTGCTTTTAATCTAAGGAAATTTTTAGAAATCTCAATATAGAAAACAGAGAAATAAAGCAGGCTGTCTGGCTAATGCAGGGCAGGAGCCACAGACACCTTCCTTTCCCACAGTGACTGCTGAGATGCCTGCCAACAGCTTCGCAGGCATGGTTAATAATCACTGCTCCAAGAAAATCTGTTTCTGTTACAAATATCAAACATAGACTATTTTTTGCCACTATTTAGGCCAATGTGAAATTTTTATAACACAACTAAGTATAAAGTTAAAAAGTAACTTTTCTCTCCTTTAAAAATAACAAAATAAAATTGCTATGCCATATAAAACCAAATTTTTAAAATTTCGTAATCTTAGTATGATCCATGGAAAAAGTTATTGGTTCCCCTTAAAGTCCCTACATTTTAAAGACTTATGTCCATATAAACTGTATTCAAAATATAAGAGAATGATGGTAGGAGGTGGAATCCTATTTTTCTCTACCAAACACTATCTCCTACCTGACTGACGCACTTAAATATTCAGCCCAGGAATCTTAATTCTGTCACCGAATATTCAGACAGAGAAACTTGCACAAAGAACTGATCTGTTTTAACATGTACAAGGTAAACTTCCATGGAATATTTTTTTAGATACATATTTCCTCTCTTTGTTCCCAACATCTCCCCATTTTTAAGGACTACTGTAATCCATGCAGTTGATATTAGCAAAATACAAATAACTTGTTCTCTTCTGTAAAGACCATGATTAAACCTCTAAATTCAATAAATAGGCTCTTTAATAGTAATTTGACATCATAGCAGAGTCTCAATCTGTCTTCTTCTCTAATACATCCTTGGGCTCCTGCCTGGCAGGCAGTAGAGACTGTCCGCTCCTTGGCTCCTGCAGTTCTCTGCTCTCCTCCGTGGCTTCCTGGCTTTCAGTTTCGCTTTTGGACACTTCATACCGCTCTTCTATGTAGCCTCCGTCTGTGTCGGCTGTGTAGATGCCATAGCACATGATGCTGATGACACCCAGAGGCAGGCCGAAGAGGAAGCAGCCCATGATCGGAGAGCTCTTGAATATGGACTGTGGAGAGAGAATTACAGCTCAGTGCCCTCAAGTGCATTCATACATAAACAGCACGAATGAATGAAAAACCACTACAGGTTTTGTTCTCTTGCTGCTGTCCAACCTGCTCAATGTCAATGTTTCTGCAGTAACTACCATATTAAAGATACTGTAAAAGATAGAAATTTTATCTCGTGTGTGTGTGAGTGTAATCAGCTCCGGGCAGTAGAAAATGCACCAAATGCTTTATGCCGTTTCTTATGCCATTTCTTTTTCTCATATGAACCACAAAGGTCTGTGTGATGGCTCCTGTGTGCTTGGCAGCTGGTGTTCCTGGCTCCAGAACTCGGCTCACTGGGAAGGCTATTTACCATAAAGACGGTGTAACACATTGCTTTCACATGACATTTTTAATACTCGGACTTATCTAGTTAGTAGTAAGGCCACATTCACTTAGTAATTTCTGTAAATTTATCTGCTGTCTCCTCAGCTCCCAAAAAAGTAAAAGCAATTTCCCTGGTTAGGTTTTCAACTACAGTACATTCTGAGTGACTAACTCTTTAGAACCATGTAGACAAATTCAGAGGAGTGCAAGGGCACTGTGGATTGAGGAAACAGAAGAAAGCTTCATAAAATTAAGGTGTTTTGAGGCAGAAATGTAAGCAAGAGTGAGAATGCGGCTGGGCATGGTAAGGTGTAAGCACCAGCATGACACAGCAGGGAAGTTGACGCAGCAGTCAAAGAGCAGGAAGACAGCACCGGAGATGCAAAGAGGACTCGGATGTGCATCACTGAGAGGGGAAGGAAAGTGATCAAGACTGACTATTCTCGTGCTATGAGTTGTGCAGTGGTGTAAGAAAAGGCTGGAGATGGCAAGAGGAAATGAGAAAACCAAGTGGACGTCAGAGCAGCGGCTGGACATAAGGTGCTGAGGGCCAATCCACATTGGTGTCAATAGGGAGGTAAAGAAGGTCACTACTGGTAAACTGAAGAATGCATGGAGTAAAACTATTAGAACTCATCTCTCACCAAGAGAAGGTCAGCTGTATTGGCCAGAATGAATGAAAACATGCAGGGAGTAGATCCAGACAGGCAACTAGAGCCAAACGTAAGGCTCCACCAGATTCAGGAAGGCCTCTACTCACAAGCTTGAGCCAAAGCTGGGTAGTAAGATGATTTCTGAGAGCTCTAAGCAAGAAGGGTTCGGATCCAAGAACTTACAGAAACGGGGAGGAAAGACTGGAAAACACTGCTGTCACGCTCACTGGTTCTGAATGGCAGTTACTCACCAAACACAAAGAGATGGAGACCAGAGAAACAATTTCCACCAATGAACATAAATTCTTAATGTAAACACAGACTTGTTCTTCCCTAGCAAATGAAAATATTTTTACCTAATCCTTTCAAATTCCAGATTTTACCTTAGACATAAAAAACTTATACACCTATATACTGTCTATTATCAACAAAATTAAGCAAACTGTCACAACTTACCACAACAGTAGATTTAGCATCAAATACCATTCTTTTCAATCTCTGCAAAATGCTATCACCTCCTTGGGCCTTAAATTTAATAGAAAAAGACAATTACACCATTAAGTACTATTACTTCAATTTTCTGTTAGGTAATCTTACAAATGCCAGTCCAGGGTTGAGGGCAAGGGTTGAGGATGGATAGCATGAAGCACCTGAAGGGCCAGGTGTAAGCATGCCCTGCTTCCCTGGCCTACCTTCCCCTGCTTCCTGTGTAGACACTGACTCTGTGAATCCATCCTCCCTAGTCACACCCCCCCCGAGGACAGGCCTGCCCCATTTCTGAATTTAGCTGACACTATTCAACTCTAGATGCTGCCGGGGTCTTTGCTACTGTATACAGAGTTTCCCTGAAGATGAAGCTCAAAAAATAGAGTGCCACCTGGCCAGTGTGGCTCAGTGGTTGAGCGTAGTAGACCCATGAACCAGCAGGTGAAGGTTCAATTCCCAGTCAGGGCACATGCCAGGGTTATGGGCTCAATCCCCAATAGGGAGTGTGCAGGAGGCAGCCAATCAATGATTCTCTCTATCATTGATGTTTCTATCTCTCTCTCCCTCTCCTTCCCTCTCTCTGATATCAATAAAAACATATTTTAAAAAAATAAAAATAAAGAAAAGAGTGCCAAAAGGCTTTTACAGAAAAATTCCTGATGGAAATCAATCACATTCATGGCATCCAGTCACCCCTGAAGTCTGCCCCATCCCTTGACTTTCTCTGCCAGGTGAGCCAGTGAGACCTTTTTGTTAATAGTCTGAGTTGGGTTTCACTAACCCATTAATAGAAGGGCTCTCTTACACACACAGGTGAGTTATATTCCAACAGGTGTTACCTTCAGAAATATAAAATCCCTACTGTTATTTCTAAAGCAGAAATACTTGCTACTCTGTGAGCCAACTTTCATATAAAGTTTGTGTAAAGTTGAAACAAGATAACTAAACTTCATGGAAGCATAGAAGACTCATTTCTTTCTAATTTAATCTGCTGATGTGGTTTCATGACCCTCTACCATGGGCTGCAACAGTCCAAAAAACACTCTAGTAAGATTTATAGAAAACGAAAAAGTTAAGACTTCTCGTTCATTATTTCTGAGAAATATTTTATAGGATGTGGAAATCTCCACTGTGGCTCTAATTCTCAATATATTTCCTTATCTCTTAAGAAACTGGTCTTATTAACAGGTTTTCTAGGAAAACCATTCCAAATAACTTAACCAATCGTCCTCTGGACTCCAGGAAGGTTCTAAGAACCAGGACAGTTCACTATTGGCACAGCTCTGTGCACTGCACATGAAAGCATCCCTACACCCTGACTCTAAAGCCAGAAGCACCTCCAAATCACCAAAAATGCCCCCAAATCACCCTTATAGGACATTTCCACCCCTCAGCAGTGTCGTGACACGAAGAATCTGCCACAATGTGAAAGAAGCAGGGTATAGAGGGGAGGCCTCCCCTCTCCCCAGTTGCCACTGACAGTCCCTTTCAGAATCAGAGAAGAACTGTTTTCTCCTCCATCTCCTGTCATCATCCTTTGAAACAGAAGTGAACAACTTACTTCTACTGTGCCATCCAAAATGCTATTAATAAACTGGACCATGTCTTCAGTATTCTTGATCTCTCTATCTAGTAAAAAGTATTGTTGGTTTGAAGTATTCAGTACAACTACAGTTGGGACAGTCAATTCACTGGAAATAGAAAAACAAAGAAATCAATATCCACATAAACACACAGATAACAAACATTCTGATATTTGCTTATATTATATATAAGTAACTATAATACAAAAAGAAGGAGCCGTATTAATAGCTTTGCCTCCTTTTGACTACACGAAATTTCAAATTTTGCATCAATTCTGAAAACTAGCTATATTAAGATTACATGAAGAACATGCTACATATAATATAAAACAGCTGAGTTTTCATAATTAAACTTAAGGAGAAAAATTATGTACAAAGTATCAATTTCTGGGTAGTATTACTCCTTGCTACAGATATAGTTAAATACCATCTCTGTTAATCACATACAACCCAAGTGTATTTTATGTTTGTTTGGCTATCCATCCATATTGTAAGTTTTGTTATGCATAATGTATGTGTCCAGTGTATTTTTTCTGCCTTATATTTTGAAAACCCTAGTGAATAAGTTGTTTCACCATGATTGTGATTCTGTCAAACTCTCGATTACTTTGAATTTTGCTTTAAATGTTTCTCTACTGTATATATACCAGAGGCCCAGTGCATGGAATTTGTGCACTGGGGTGTGGGGGGGGGGGTGTCCCCTCAGCCTGGCCTGCAACAACGCAAGCGTTCCACGCCCAGCCTGGCCAGAGGCCCTCTGCGGCCGGGTGGAACACTTGCCTCGTCACCACAGCCAGGCTGCTCACGCTGTCTGCTCTCAGCGGCCTCACCCCCCAGGACTGGGAGACTCTGGCAGGGCTGAGAGGACTGGACGCCACCATCTTGTGGCTATGGACTCCGCCATCTTTGTGATGAAGTGACAGTCAATTTGCATATTAAAGCTTTTATTAGATAAGACATATCTAATAAAAGTTTTAATAACGGTGACAAGGCAAGCATTCCACCCAGCTGCGGAGGACCTCTGGGCAGTGGGCATGGGATGGCGCCCCCATGTGGTCACAAGATGGCCACCACAAGATGGCCAGCAGGGGAGGGCAGTTGTGAGCAATCAGGCCAGCGGGGGAGGGCAGTTAGGGGCAACCAGGCCAGCAGGAGAGAACAGTTGGGGGTGACCAGGCCAGCAGGGGAGGGCAGTTGGAGGCGACCAGGCCTGCAGGGGAGAGAGGGCAGTTAGGGGTGACCGGGCCTGCAGGGGAGGGCAATTGGGGGCGACCAGCCCTGCAGGGGAGGGACCAGGCTGGCAGGGGAGGGCAATTGGAGGAAATTGGGCTGGCAGGGGAGCAGTTAGGCACCGATCAGGTTGGCAAAGGAGTGGTTAGGGGGTGATCAGGCAGGCAGGCAGGAGAGCGGTTGGGAGCCAGCAATCCCGAATTGTGAGAGGGATCCCAGATTGGAGAGGGTGCAGGCTGGGCTGAGGGACACCTCTCCAGTGTACGAATTTTGTGCACCAGGCCTCTAGAGTGTGTGAGTGTGTGTGTGTGTGTGTGTGTGTATGTATATATCATATATATGTATATATTTATCTTTAATGATAAGTGCAATATGCCAATTAGAATGGACGACCTTCTGGACGAAGCTGGGGCTGCAAGGGAAGCCGGGTCCTGGATGCTGGAGAGAAGCCCAAGACCCGGGTTCCGGATCCCAGAGGGCAGCTGGGAGAAGGAAGGCCTACCCTTTGCACGAATTTCGTGCATTAGGCCTCTAGTATATATATATATATATATATATTAAAAGACTTGTAATTTTGTATGTCACTTACACATTAGCTTACAGTTATCTGTATGTCTATATAAAAGTGTTATGCAAAAGGAGAAAATGAATTTACACCACTAATTATTGCAAATAGTAACTAAGTCCAGAAGATTACTTTGTTGCTCATAATTCTCTATACCTCCCTATGCCACACCCTTTGTCCACTGAGGTAAGGCGAAACATGCTCATCTGACCCCTGACACTGAGGCAGGGCCATGACTAGGTCAACAGGTAGGTAACACACTTGACAAAGCAGAGGCTGGACACGTGTCTGCATTGCTGGGTTTGCTTTCTTGTGTTTTGTGACTGCAATGAGAAGGGTATTCCCAAGGAAATATCCTTCCAAGGTCAAGGGCATTAAAGACATGTGGAGCAGACCTGAAGCCACATCTGTCTGTGCCCAGCCAGTCAGCCAAGCCCAGACCAGGGAGAGAGAATACATGATTCCTACTGTAAGCCATTGGGTTTCAAGGTGGTTTATTTCCCAGCATTGTTATTAGGCAATGGTTAACTGACTGTGTAATTAAACTCCATATGAGTAATAGTGCAAGGTAACATCTCATTTTATTTCCTTTAAACTATATACTCACAAAACTCAATACAAAATAATTTAATAGACCAAAGATTTGATAGTATCATATTTATTTTGAGAAAAAAAAATATAATCAATGTTGCTATGTAATAAAAGTGTAGTAGGCAAATTGTCCCCTCAACCGGGAGTTTTTCCTGGAGTTCAACCAGGGGGCGGGGCCAGCCGGGGGAAGGGAGGGAAGCCCAGGCTGGTGATGGTGGCTGCGGCAGGCAACCAGGGGAAGGAAGGGAAGTCCTGGCCAGCAGCCACTAGGGACCCTACCAGTGCACGAATTTCATGCACTGGGCCTCTTGTTTTATATAATATGTATTTGCCGTATGTTAAAAGCTCCACTGATTTATGTGTCAATGTTAATGTTATAGTAGTGAAGAGCTTTGGAGCAAGAGGGGTGTGAATTTGAGAACTGGATTTCTAACTTATTTGATGCATCCTTTGGCATATTATTTAACACCTTTGAGTTTCTTCTAAGAAATTTGAATTTCCTCACCTATATAAAATGGAGATAATTACAGTATTTATACCTTACTGACTGACCACTCAGTTCAGCCTTGGTCACAGGTAAGTGCTCAATATGGACTTTCAATTATATTATATTATATACCACCATTATATAACTTCTCTCCTTAAAAAACAAAACAAACAAACAAAAAAAACACCACCAAAAGCAGCATAGTATGAATAAGAGAGAAACCAACCACTCCAAACTCTAAGGGGTTGGTGGTAGAGATTATTGTTGTTCTTTCACCACAACTATAGCTCAAAAATTCTACTATCTCACAACTTGTATTAGAAATAATTCTCATGAAGGTAGTATGTCTCTCCATCTCTACATATTCTGAATATTATCCTGGGCAAGCAGTTATTTATTGGACCCAAACTGCTTTGGCCTCTTACAAACGCTATTGAACTGAATCAATGTGTTGGCTTGCCTCGAAGGCCATTATTAGAAATGGTTGTATCGAAGTCCCTACTACATATATAGTAAATATCCTACTCAAAATGCATTTCTATGATAGAGCATCACCCTTTAGGAGATAGTATAGCAAAGCAATTTCTTAAAGACTTCTACAAGGTCATCTGAAGACATTTTAGGTTTCTACAAGCATCTGAAGACAGGGACACTAATTTTCTCATTTTTTTTGCATCAGTAGTGCCAAACACAGTATATGATATACTGTAACTACTCACTAAATGTCCACTGAATTGAGTAGGTTCTTATTTGAAACATATTAATTCAAAATAAGTATGGCAAATGTTCCTAATAACAACTTTATGAAGTAACATTTCAGATTTTTACATCATAATATAATTGATAAAGTTATTTTAAACTTGCACATTTTCCCTGTAAAACTATTTTAGTCTGTTAAAATAAATTCTTTTGGATAGTAATTCATTCTTGAATGTTAAAAATTAATTCTTAAGTTAAACTGTTCACTGAAATTGAACTTAAGGTAAGGTGTGTATTAAATGAAAATATGAATTTTATATGTTTTTGAATGATGCTTCTTTTCAAAACTATAAATTATTAACACTGAACTGAAAGACATTTTTTAGTATAGAAAAATATAAAAGTTTTAAATGTAGACTTAAAAATGTAAAGTATTTATTGAGAGATTGTGTGCATTATATTAGATCTTCTGTCTGTCTCTAAAAAACAGAAATTTAAAAATAGACAGAATTGATAGGGAAATCATTTAGTACTTACTCCATCAGCAAGGTATTTATATAGTCATTCCCATCCATATGTCCAAACTGAAAATCCCTAACCAACAACAATAACCAAAAATGAGAGAGAGACAGAGAGAGAGAGAGAGGAAGCAATATTTAGTACAAAAAAAGAATGGAACTTGGTAAGCATGTAAATAAACGCTTAACGTGTAAGTTACATATAATAAATGTAGAAGAGTGTGAATTCTACAGACTTCTGAGATATGAACACACATAAGTAAAATCAAACACATTCTAAGACATTTCTACTTTGTATATATTTAAATTCAAGGCAATATAAGTCTTTCAAACTATACAACAGGTTTAAGTTACACACCCAACAAGAGGATTACTCAAAAGATGGCTCATTTATAAGTATATATCACTGATACCTCATTAGAAGATGCAATAAAAGGGAATAGCAACTAACTAATATAACAAATTTATATTGACTATCTCATGCCAGCAACAAATAGAATGATTTAGCACACTGCAAAAATATCACTTATTTTAATATTCCGTTATTCTTTGAGGTCCTGTTATAAGCATCATTTGTCTATCTGACTCGAGATTGCTCATTTAACTTTATCTCAAATGTATGAGCCTACGTACATCTTCTTACTGCAAACTTATCCCAAATCCTATCAAGAAACAGGTATGTTGCAAATTTGTTGAGGGGACATATCAACAAACTTCAAGTCCAGACAATTCATACAGAAATGCAATCACTCAGCTCCTTGATTCATCTGGGTAAGTATGAAAGAGTAGTCTTTTTGGTTAATTGTACAAAACACAGTTAAACAAAAATAGAGGAGTTGTCCTGAGTACAAGCACCTACCTGTGGAACTGATCTCTGTAATCTCTAGCAACTTCCTGAATAATTGACTTCAAACTGTAGAACAACAAACAAATGAATATATTTCATTTTTCACTTGAAATATATAATTACTCCATTATAACATCTCATCTGCCACTTGATCTAAAACTGCAGGAAAAGATACTCTATATTAAGTTTATCTGAAGCCATGTAAAGTCTGAGTTAGGTGACACTGAAAGCTTAAAACGATTTCAAGGCACTTTACCTGGTATGTTCAATTGATGTATTTTTCTCATCAATAATTGCAATAGCTACAAGCTTTCCTGAAATTAAGAAAAACATATCTAAATTCAATAACCCTCATTATGCAAACTTTTCAATTATTATTGCAGCTGTGAATGGGGAATTAGTAAACATTGCTTCTAGAATTAACTTCCAGTTATCTCACACGTTACACTCAGTAGAGTCAATCAGTGAGTTAGTGGACTCCAAGTGTTAAGTTCCCTCCCAGCTCCCATCCTCATAATTAAACAACAGTAAATATTTAACAGTTTACATACACAAATTGTATTTTTCATACAACCCACAAAATGATTAAAATAAGAAGTCTTTCAATAACAAAAACCATAAGAAATAAGTCGATAAACAAAACTTACTATTAATTACTGTAGCTCTAAAAGAACGGTGTATAAGGAGAATAATTTTTACATTGCTATTCCCTTCGGTACCACGAGTCACTACTTTCCAGTAATAATACACAGAATAAAATTGAAGCAAAGTTATTTAATCCTGCACAGAATATAAACCCCATTCATCTCTGATATTCTCTAGGAAGGCAGCATGACGCTCAGTGTCTATCATGTTCTCTGCCTTGGCGAACAATGGTGAAGCACTTATTAGCTGTATGATTTACCTCAGTAACTTCACCTTACTTTATTTATTTATTTTTTTTAAATATATTTTATTGATTTTTTACAGAGAGGAAGGGAGAGAGATAGAGAGTTAGAAACATCGATGAGAGAGAAACATCGATCAGCTGCCTCCTGCACATCTCCAACTGGGGATGTGCCCGCAACCAAGGTACATGCCCTTGACCGGAATCGAACCTGGGACCCTTCAGTCCGCAGGCTGACGCTCTATCCACTGAGCCAAACCGGTTTCGGCAACTTCACCTTACTTTAGAAACTAGTATAAATTTCAAAGTTACTGGGAGAGTTGAATGAGATTACATGCACCAAAATATTGGGACAGTTTCTGGCTCAAAGTAGGTATATACATGTGCTATTAAATCAACCATTTCTCAATCCCCCATAGGGGGCAGGAGGCAGCTGATCATTGTTTCTCTTTCTTTGATGTTTCTATCTCTCTCTCTCCCTCTCTCTCTAAAAATAAATAAACAAAAACATATTTTAAAATAGAGCTTAAAATTAATTTTCTCAGATTAATCAAGGAGAAATTCTGTGCAGTAAGAGAGAGCTATATGTATATTTCTACCTGTATCTCCAAGTTCATACAAGAGGAAGCCGTCCATAGTCAGATAATTCTGAAACCTCTCCCTGTTGATCCAAGATGACAAGTCACCATCTTCATACTCTTAAAAACAAAAGAAATTTGATAATTATAGTGTAGATATGTTTTTATGATGTTTACAATATTCTACTCCAGCAATATGTATAAAATGCCAGGATCATAATCTTCAATTCATAAATTCCATTTATAGAGGTGTATTCTAAACACACAGATGCAGTAAAGGTCTGATGCACAGAGCAATGCTTCACTGTGAGTTTGCTGCATACCTCAGAGCAGCATCTGGAAATGACTGTTAACTTTGTTAAGTGCTATAACAGCATGTGGTTACCTAAACCAAAAAAAGGCCACATTTTTAAGAGATGCGGAATAAAGCACACAATAATTAAACACCCCCAGGATTCTGCTTTCAAACACTTCAACTTTTGTTGAAGAGAAAACTTGTTGAAGCAAATGTGGGTAAGAGCTTGGTCCCTGTTTCATCTGGGTGATGGGTATGTATGTAGGGATTTATTATTTAGCATTCTGCTTATTATTGTGTATATTTAACATAATAAAAATATTTTAAAACCAAGCTGAGTATTTGCTTCAAGGAAGCAATGCTGAGTAGTGGCTGCTTCTGTCGAGCAGGAAGAGGTGGTGGTAGGCAAGAACATACAGACGTCACCACTATTGAGGATGTTATATTTTTTCATTTTTTTGTGTGTCTAAAACAGGTGTGGGCAAACTATGGCCCACGGGCTGGATCTGGCCCGTTTGAAATGAATAAAACTAAAAAAAAAAAAAACCATACCCTTTTATGTAATGATGTTTACTTTGAATTTATATTAGTTCACACAAACACTCCATCCATGCTTTTGTTCCGGCCCTCCGGTCCAGTTTAAGAACCCATTGAGTCAAAAAGTTTGCCCACCCCTGGTCTAAAATATATCTTTTTAAAAAATTAATTTTGAAAATTTAAAGAAATGTATAGAAACTGCATAGGGTTCACTTCTGAAAAAGGCAAATGACCTCACCAAAAAATAAAAATAAAAGAAACATTCAATACCACAACCCAGAAGGAAAGAACACTAAGTTGAAGGGTAAGAAAAATGTGTCAGTCAGTCATTCAACTAACTGGGTAGATTATGGGAGCTGTAAGAAGGAGATACATTTACAAAATCTTTCATCAACACCCAAATACTGTAAGAGAGACACAATTTTAATGTTAAAATGTTTTATGTAAGCTAAAGCTTTGGAACTTACCATCGTAAACAAAGTAAGTTTCATCTTTGAAAACAAGCACGGCGGGCATCTCCTTCAGAGTCACGTACTGCAAAGATCAGATGTGTACACAATCTTAGTTAAAATTTTTCAATTTGTAGCTATGATTTCAAGATTATTAAAGGATGCCAGGAAAGGAGAAAAAAACACCTAACAATGACAAATTGTTACAATTATTTAAAAAGGGCACAGTGAATCCCAAGTTCATTCAAGGACTGGGTTTGATCTCTTTATATACCCATCACCAGGCATAGTGCCCTGGTTGCTCTAGTGGAAACAATGGAATACTCTTAGAGTGGACAACAGACCTAAAGATGTAGGAAGTAAAGGATGAGAGGCACTGTGAAGTGGCCAAAGAGCAGGAACTAAGGCATTAGTCAGCACAGGCAGGTTCCAGTCCCTCCCCACCACCCCAGGGCTATGCGATGATTACATTGCTTTACCTGGGAATCTTACACACTGAACGTTACAGTTTTTCTCTTGGCTTCCTCACTCAACTTGTTTTCCTATGCACTGGCTATTTCATGTCATTTTCCTTTGCTGTCATTAGGTCCTGGGATCTCTTACTTCCTTAAAACTTTGCATCCAATGTTTAAGGAGTTTATTTATACAGACTTAACTCTAGATCCCAAACCCAACTGTGTATTTGATGCTTGTACTTGGATATCTAATATGCTGAATCAAATTAAAATAAACAATTCAAAACTCTTGTTCATGCCCTCCCCACCCCCACCCCATTCCCCAACCTTTTCCTTCGGCTATAGCCCCAAAGCTCATGAAAACACCACCATCTACCCAGCTGTTCAAACCAAAAACCTAAAGTCATTCTTAATTCTTCCTTTGCCCTCCAGATCAGCAAGCACAAAAAATTCTATTTCCCAAGCACAACAATTCTTTCACTTCTCCCTGATTCTCTTACTAACTAACCTCCAAGCCCAAACTTCCTATATTACTTCAAGAGTTCAACTGATCTTGGGACCTACTATCATCACTATCCAATTCATTCTGCGCTTGGCATAGAGTAATATTCTTAAAATGAACGTAAGACCAAGTCCTTCACCAACTTCAACTGATCACATGATTGGCCATGACCTGCAAGGCCTCCACAGGCCTCCAACTACCTGCTATTTCCTTTCTCATTGCATTAAGACCACACTGGCTTACTACTCTGTTCGCAAATATGCCAGGCGGGTTCTCATTGTGGGCACCTGTAGTATCTGTTCCCTGCTTCTGGTTTCCTCTGGCCACAGATCTCTACATGGCTCCTTCGTATTATCTAAGTCCCCAGTTCAACTATTTCTTCTCAGATTGATATTTCTTGATCAAGGAATCTAGAGCAGCCATCCCACCTCTAACTGCTCCCCATAAATGCACTGCTCCCTTATTTTTACTAGAGGCCTGGTGCATGAAAGTCATGCACAGGTGGGGGGGTGGGGGGGGGAGGGGGAACGGTATCCCTCAGCCTGGCCTGCACCCTCTCCAATCTGGGACCCCTCAGGGGATGTCCAACTGCCGGTTTAGGCCCGATCCCAGTCAGACATCCCTCTCACAATCCAGGACTGCTGGCTCCTAACCGCTCACCTGCCTGGCTGCCTGATCACCTCTAACCACCTCTGCCTGCCTGCCTGATTGCCCCTAACCATCTCTGCCTGCCGGCCTGACTGCACCCTAACTGCTCCCCTGCCTGTCTGATCACCCCCTAACTGCCCTCCCCTGCTGGCCTGATCGCCCCCTAACTGCTTGCTCCCTGCATCGGCATGATCGTGCCCCTAACTGCTTGCTCCCCCATGGCAGCCTGATCGCCTCTAACTGCTTGCTCCTCTGCCTGCCTGATCGTCCCTAACCACCTCTGCCTTGGCCCCTGCCACCATGGCTTTGTCTGGAAGAAAGTCAGATGTCTGAAAGATGTCCAGTCGACCAGTCTAATTAGAATATTACCCTTTTATTAGTATAGTGATCATGATATCCTATTTATAGATCTGTTTACTAAGGATCACTACCTCAGTCTGAAGACCAACAGAGGAGATCACCTGCAATGCTAACATGAAGTCCACTTCCTCCACCAGGAGAATGTGAGCTCCATCTTATCAGGGTCTGAGGCATTGGCTCATCATCAATCCAGAACTTAAACAGTGCTTGGCACAAGATTAGAGGCTAAGAAGTAGTCATTTATTCTACAGATATACATAAGTAAATCCACTACTTACAAAACAATTAAGGGTATGAATAACAATTAAGGGTATGAATATCACCTCTCACAGCTGCTATTATTTTAAAGAAAAAAAATTAATGTAAATAAAATCTGTAAATGCTATCAATCTAGTGATATTTGCTTGTTAACAATAAGCAATCTGGTACCAATTGAACATGTTTACTGTTTCCACACAAATCACAGTTAATAAATCTCACAGATAAAATCAAGTAATAAGTTAAAGATTAAAATTAAGTTATTAAAGTCTAATTTTAAATATTACCTCAGGAACCACTTCTTCTGAAGCAGAAAAGAAGTATGTATATACAATTAATTCTGAAGCAGCATCTATGTATTTCTCCTGTGAAAATACAAACAAAAAAGGGTGACTTTAAAATATTAAGACCAAATTAATTCTTCATTAACAATCAGAGCAAGCTGTATCATTCACTCACTAGTATACCACAATCTGCTATCTTAAGTCCTTTTATGTGAAAAGATCTATAGATAAAAGCGTAATATGCAAATCGACCAGACAGTGGAACAACCAGTCCTATGACATGCACTGACCACCAGGGGGCGGACGCTCAATGCAGGAGCTGCCCCCAGCTCCCTACCCCCGGCTGGCAGGCTCTGATCACCGGATGGGGAACGGGGAACTGGGGGTGGGTTGCAGCGGACGCGCAAGGCCAAGGCAGGTGAGAGCAGAGCCCCAATTGCCCTGCTGGTCACCCCACACACAGAGGGTGACCGGCAGTGGCAGGGAGTTGTTGGCTGCCAGCAGCTGGGGAAGATTGGCCCTGATTGCAGGCCAGGCCTAGGGACCCTACCCGTGCACGAATTTTGTGCGCTGGGCCTCTAGTAGACTATAAGCAAATAAAATAAGCTGTTTGTATGGCGAAAGACCATTGTAATTAAGAGCTTTCAAAGTCTTCCAAATAGTTTAAGTACAACATAAGCTCAATTCATGTTTATTAATTTAATTTGATGAGTACAGGAAGGGTGTGTGTGCATACACGCACATATACACATATAAAATAATTTAAGATAATGATCTGTTGCCTTTAAAAAATTTACATTTAAATTGCACTTTTTAGTCTCAAAGGTTCAAAATGCTAAAAATTTTAACCAGGTCAATAACAAAAGAAATTCCAAGGCAGACAACATCTGCCCACTTTTTATTTACTTTTGCTTCATGAAGGCAAACACTATAGAGGATATATAAGAAAATATTTTTATTATAAAAATACTTAGATTGAGCTAAAGTATGTCCAACAAAAGCGAAGTAAGTTTGAGTCTTTGGTAAACTTTTGGATTAAAAAATAAAGTCATCTGATACCTTCAAAGTTGACTCTCCACCTACATAAACAAAAAATACACGATGTCTTTTCTGCACATGTTCAAACATTTGTTGACTTGGAAGTGGCCGAATTAGTGCTCTGTTTGAAAACAACAAAAACAAAAAATGAACTTGCATTTGAACAAAAGACAGAACAAATCAATCCTACCTATATGATCTAAATTTATAATGTTTAAGTGCTATATTAACTGCATTTTAAGTGTATCACCCAATCCATATTAATCTAATAAAACTATAGCCCATGACCACTATTACATCCATATAATAAAAATATAGCACCCACAATTTAATCTACCAGTTTAAATATTAAGTTTCAAATAGAGTACCATCTTAGCCAATATTCAACAAACAATCCACATAAGAGTATTTTTTTTTTCTTAAAGATCATTCACACAAGCATATGTGAAACACTATCCCAGGAGTTTCTGATACTATATTAAGAATATTTATATCTTACACTGTTCATTTAATTGCTATATCATTTTAAAATGCCCTACAGAGGTTAAAATCTAAAAGTTTTCATAAGTATGCTATTCTTTTTAGGAAGAATAAAATGGAAAATAGTAGTCATAAATAGTACATAAGAAACTCATAAAGAGAAAACCAAATGGAACAAAGATTTTATTTTATTTATTTATTTATTTATTTATTTATATTTTATTGATTTTTTACAGAGAGGAAGAGAGAGGGATAGAGAGTTAGAAACATCGATGGGGGAGAAACACTGATCAGCTACCTCCTGCACACCTACTGGGGATGTGCCCGCAACCAAGGTACATGCCCTTGACCGGATCGAACCTGGGACCTCTCAGTCCGCAGGCCGATGCTCCATCCACTGAGCCAAACCGGCAAAGATTTTATTATATAAGCATATGTCAAACCCAACAAGACTAAGAGATTACATCAAAGGTTATTGCAAAACATACCACGTATAAAATATTATTAAAAAACTAAAAGAGTCTTCTTGTAAATGTGCCCTATGTTATCAGATTTTTTACTTCGCAAAATTTGCAAAAAGAACAAAACACATTTTCCAAAGGCAAACACATTTTCAAAACGTACAATTCTTTAGCTGCATTGCATCACTCTACTCTAGCTCCTATTTTTACTTGAGTAATTAACAGGTAACTGATGTAACTCCAGAACCGACTCTTGAAATTTCATTTGCAACAGAGTCACCCCTGGTTACATCAGGAGAGCCCTTCTTAAGCTTAAACTCAAACATTAAATATTGCTAAAGCATAAAGACTAAGTAAATCATGAGGGAATAAAGTACAACCTACTAGCAATCTCCTCATATAATATAAAGTTATTGTAAAATTTACTTATTCACAAAACAAATAGACAATTAAATGTGTAATCAATGTAAAAATACAGTGAAAATTATATTAATAAGCTTTGCAAACTCTCCTATCTAAGAGAAACATGCAAATTGACCATACCCCCAAATGCTTCCCATTGGCTAATCAGCAGGATATGCAAATTAACTGCCAACCAAGATGGCAGGCGGCAGCCAGGCAGCTGAAGCGAACAGGAGGCTTGCTTGCTCCAGTGATGGAGGAAGCCAAGGTTCCCGGCCTGTGGCAGCCCAGCTCTGAGCTCCGGATGCAACAAAGTTGCAATTATAGAAGCTAAACAAGCTCCAGATAGCTGCTTTCAGCCGGCAGCGGGCTCAGAACTTAGAGCGGCAGTGATGGCAACAGAGTTTCAATTATAGAAGCTAAACAAAGCCCAGATATCTGCTTTCAGCAGCCAAGGTCTCAGGCTGGAGCTGGCTTCAGAGCTAAAGCCAGCTCTCAGCTCCAGTGACAGCCATAGAAAGTAAATAAAACCCAGAATAAAAAAAAAAGAAAAAAAGGAGAGGCTGGGAGCTTCAGTCACGCGCCAGCCTGAAAACGGCCTTCAGCCCCTCATCCTGACTGGCCAGGCACCCCAGTGGGGACCCCACACTAAAGGGGGTGAGGGCAGCCTATAAAAAGCCATCAGCCTGTCATCCAGGCTGGCCAGGCACCCAAGCGGGACCCCCCACCCTGATCCGGGACACCCTTCAGGGCAAACCAGCCAGCCCCCACCCATGCAGCAGGCCTCTATCCTATACTACAGGCAGGGCTGGACAGCGTGAGCTGCCATCCGGGCCCCATGTGCAGCCCTGGGCAGCGGGGCATAAGTCCCACCCCCAGCCGGGACCCTTATGTGCTACCTGAGCCCCCAGCCGGGACCCCCGTGCCGCCTAAGCCCTGCACTGCTAAGCCCCGCCCCCAGCCGGGACCCTATGACTATTGGAGAGCAGGAAAGTGCCGCTGGGCCCTGGGTTGCTGTGGTGATCCGGCCATCGGTAAGTAGAAAAGTGTGGCCTGTAGGCAGCCCCCCGCTGCGCCTGATCAGGGAGCAGGAAAGTCCGGCCCGCGGGCAGCCCCAAGCTGCACCTGATCTGGGAGCAGGAAAGCCCAGCCTGAGGGCAGCCCCCAGCTGGGCCTGATCCAGGAGCAGGAAAGCCCGGCCTGTGGGCAGCCCCCAGCTGGGCCTGCTCCCTGGTCGCCATGGGGATCCGGGAGCAGGAGAGCCCGGCTTGCAAGCAGCACCCCCATCCTGGCCATAGCTCAAGGGAGAGTACAACATGCAGTGGAGTCCAGAAGCCTGAGAGATCAACACAGAGGGGCTCCTGCTCTAAGCCTCCATGGTGTGGCTGGGGGCAGGCCCCCAGCAGACACACACAGTGCCTGCTCTGAGCCTCCAATGTGGCTGGGGGCAGACCCCCAGTGGAGACACACACACACAGACACATACACACACACACACACACACACACACACACACACACACACGGCAACTGCTTCGAGCCTATGTGGTGCAGCTGGGGGCAGGCCCCAGCAGACAGGGCCATCAGTAGGACATCCACTGAGGGCTCCCGGACTGTGAGAGGGGCAGGCTGGGCTGAGGGAACCCCCACCCCCCAGTGCACGAATTTCGTGTACCAGGCCTCTAGTACTATATAAAGATCATTCCTAATTCTTTGCCTTTCCTCAAATAATTTAAAACAGAGAGTATCATGCCACCCAACAAATCCATCCCAATATTTCAATTTACTTTAAAGCTATCAATATAATACATCCTGTCAAACTCATAAGAAAGTGCCTATACTTTTAAAGTCAATATAGGTTAAACTACCTTGATCAGGGGTCCTCAAACTACAGCCTGCGGGCCACATGCAAATACAAATACTGTATTTGTTCCCGTTTTGTTTTTTTTTACTTCAAAATAAGATATGTGCAGTGTGCATAGGAATTTGTTCATAGTTTTTTTTTAAACTATAGTCCGGCCCTCCAACGGTCTGAGGGACAGTGAACTGGCCTCCTGTTTAAAAAGTTTGAGGACCCCTGATCTTGATGAATGTTCTCTTCAAAAAGTTGCACATAATCATTTTAATAATTATAAACAACAACTTTCTTTATATCCCAGAGCAAAATGTAGATTAAAACATAAAGTCACTGCTTTCAAACCAACAGGAAATGCTTATGGAAGCACATAGGTTTCAATTATGTCACATTCTAGGCAAAATGTGTACTAATACTTTAGAGTTGGCATAAAGCAGTGTGTGATAGATCAGGGAAAGTATTTCAGCTGTATCTACAAAGCACTTTCCATCATCACAGCCTAGGGATTAAAAGCCCAAGTCTATTCAGAACAATAATATTGTGAGGTTTCTTGTGAAACTTTAAAATCAGGTAACAATAAAAATAAAATGATGTAAGCCAGGTAGTAGAAAAGCAAAAGTATAATAAAATAAAAATTAAGATTCACCAAGTTATTAGAAGTAATCAAATTTTGAAAATCAATTAAAAATTGGGAGAAAAAGTCTTCAATATTGTAAATAAATTTAAATGTGAGATTAATAAGTATCTCCCCTTGTCTTTTTTTAAAGAATCTCTTTGCATAGTCTATGTAACCTTACCTTCTCTCATAAATAAGTAGACAAATTTTATTCAGGTTAAGTCCTTCAATAATGACCTATAAAAATAATTTAATTTTCAAATATTGATACCATATATTAAAGGTCTTTTCTAGTAAAAACTTACCCAGATACTCTGTGAGCAAACTCAATAATATCATCTTTAGTTCGTGGTCCTCTATAATTATATGCCAAGTCCCCTTTTAATCTTAAAAAGAAAACAAAAGAAAAAAGCTTGGATTATTTCAACTATTTTAATATTTAATGCTAATCAATCAATATTATTATATAAAATTACAGTATATAAAATAGTAAATGGAGAAGAAATAGCATAACCACATAAAATATAGTAGACAACTGGCTTCAGGGGACCAGCAACTCTAAATATAAAGAAAAAGGCTGTATTTTGTTAAAATTACATGAAAATAATTTACTGTGTATTTGATAGTTGCATTGCATCTATGTCTTCTAAATAATGAATAATCTACACATTCCTGGTCAAGCACTGGTCAAAGCTTTATAATTTTGTTTTCTCTTTTTAAAGGCAAGCAAAAGGCCAGGGAATTAATAGGACTTTGGTAGTGATTAAACAAATTTTAAGCCCTACAGTATCATAGTAACTTGAAAGGTGCTCCAAGATTATAGAGTAAAGCAATGCATAAAAACATCTTTTATTGAAAATTAGATAATTTCTAAAAGCCTGCCAATGAATTATGTGTCCAACTAAGAATTAAAAAAAAAAATTGTGATAGCACAACAGAACATCTATAATTAAAGAATGGAAAGGATAATTTACTTAACACAAGAAAGTAAGAGGCTTAGCAAACATTTAAAAAGTGGGGGAAGGTGAGAGGTCAACACAAAACCCGAGAATAAAAAAATAAAATTACTCAATTTTGAAATTTGAATTTTTAAAATAGTGAAATAAAAACTTACTTCATTATAAAAATAAGTTTTAACACAATTTAACTCCCCATATTATCAAAATAAGGAGTGGATGAAATGCCTGAGAAAAATCAGTAAAACGATAATTATAAAATAAACCCTTTAGAATTCTTACCCCATTTCTTCCAACATATATACTATATGTTATATTTGATCAACAACTACAGATTACAATTAACATCTATAAATTTGATCCTCTTTATTTCTTTCACTCTAATGAAATATCCTTCATAATTACAGAAAGTAAAATCTGTTAGGATACAGGAATCACATGACAAAGCAGAATACACTCTGGAGCTGCTCAAGGGTAAAAGACCTTCTATAACTAAGACTTGTTACCTTGTCCTTCATAAAATATAGAAGACAACTGGCCTGTCACAGTCAAATCTTGTTTAATGTATCAGCCTTTAGTAAACAGCACATTCACTTAAATACAAAAACAAGCATAAAGATGCAGTCCCTCTCCTTTGATCACATCCTGGCCCTGGAAAGAACTACTGAACCCAAAACTTCACTCCTCCATGGAGAGTACTAGGACTTAATCTAATAAAATGTAAGTAGAGTGAACTAATAAAAATACACATATAAACATACAACACTCAACTTACAGCTTAATTGTTGGATAACCTCGAACTCCAAACTCTGAAGCAATGCCTTGATAAGAAAAAGAATAAAAATTCTAAATTTTTTTTAAAAATGAGAAACTAGGTCATAAATGAGCCTTTTTACTTAAAAAACATATATGTTTATACAGACTTATATAGATATGCTGTTTTACCTCTAAAGAAAATATAAACTCACAAAAAGAAAAACATGACGTTCTCATACAAAACAATTACTTAATCTAACCTACACCCTACACAAAATCCTATGACAAAATAATAAGTGCCAAAAGAATAGTTAAAATTTTGACTCTAAAGTACTTATTTTAAAAGATAGTCTTTTGTTTTAAAATATATAAATAAACACATATAAATAAAGTCTCACTTCTCATTTGACTTCCTTTCCAGCACTATTACTTCTTTAAAAAAAAGGGGGCGAGTGGGAGGGGGGCAAGTGGGAGGGCCCATCTCTTCCTTTAATGTTTTCTGAGTCTTAAAAGAACTGCATTGCATTTTACCTTTAAAAACAGTCATATCTGCAAAATTATTTATTTATTTTCTATAGTCAGTATATGATCTAAAATCAACTTTATCCAAAAGGTTTTAGAAGTTTCTGCTTTTGTAATAACCTAGAATAATTACAATAGACACAAAGATTATTCTGAAATTAGAGGCCCAGTGCACAAAATTTGTGCATGGATAGGGTCCCTAGCGGCTGCCGGCTGGGGCCTTCCTTCATTCTGCACCACCCTCTGGTGGTCAGCGCACATCATAGCGATCGAACTCCCGGTCAAACTCCCGAGGGGACACTTTGCATATTAGGCTTTTATATATATAGATAGATCCTCAAGTTCAAATGAGATACATTTGGTACAGTAGCATCTTTTTAAAGGAAAGAAGAAATAGTAACAAGTACAAGCAAAGAATAGAGACTCAAGGCTTTAAGAATTATAGAAATCATGATAGTAAATTAATACTAATTCTTCACAGATTCAAGGCAACTAGAACAGTACAGAAAAAGTAACAATTTTCAGTTAACAGACTATATACAATATATTTGCAGGACTATACTAGTGTAAGTACACTGCATTTACTGATCTCTCCATTTGTTAATATTTTTTATTCCCACAATATTTTATTATCACAGCTGGGTATAAGGAAACTATGTCTCCACGTGGGTTCTGGTTTACCTGTCATCGTTTTAATAATTATTAACCTTTGGTTTCAAATCACTCCTACCAATATACATGAATAACAACAAAGCAAATTTGTGGCAAAATAACATCCAAAATCTCTGTCAACCCTAAAGCTTCTCTCTTACACATGGAGAGGGGGGAACCAGAAAGTGGGTTTTATTAGAGGCAACGCAACTGAAGAGGTAACAAAAATAAGGATTCAGGTTTTGAAGATGTAGGTCCTGCTTCTGAACTGTCATATGAACTTAGGCCAATTAAATAATTTATCTGGGCCATCTCTAATTCAGGACTTACTTCTGTCAAGTATATTCTAATTGAAGACTGCTGTTATAGAGATTGCCTTGTTCCAAGTAAAAACAAAGAAATGATTTGGAGAGGCCCGGGCTGGGTTGCTCAGCTGGTTAGGGCGTTGTCCCAATATGCCAAGGTTGCGGCTTCAATATTCAGGCAGGGCACATACAAGAATCAACCAATAAATGCATAAAAAAGTGAAATAGCAAATCAATGTTTCTCTCTCCCTTCCTCTACAAATCAATATATTAAATAAATTTTAAAAAGAAATGATTTGGGAGACATTATGTGAGTAAAGTATGTTTTTAATGCTTCTCATTCCAAATTAAGGCAGGTATATATAAGCCCTCATCACCTTCAACCAGAGCTCATTAAAAACTGCCAAAGGTAAAGACTAACATAATTGATGGAGAGGAGGACACATCCCACTAGCAACTCCTTATACAATGTAGTGTAAAATTTATTCATATATAAATCAAATTGAAAAAATGAAATATGCAATCAAATGAGAAAATATAGTGGTGGTATTTTGTAACTTGGTGTTGTTTCTCACAATAGGCTTCAGAGAAATTTAACCCCATTACTTCATTTCCCTGACCTCAGTGTTTCCTAGCTATAAGCTGGAGATTTATAATACCACCCACTCTGCAGTCCCTTTGCTCCTTGAACATATCTTTATTTCTGATAGAATTTCAATTGACAGTGATTCCTAAAACTTCAAACTTAGGTTTCCCTTGAGGAAAATGGTTGTATAATTTATAAAAGCACACAAGCAAAGCATGAGTTATAGACATACAATGACCCAGGTTAGCATTCCAACTTCATTTATCATCTGCGCAGCTCTGAATAATTTATTAACAAACTGCGGACAATCACAAAAATTCTCACTTCATATTACACAGTGTTTTACAAAGTATCATACTTTAAAAAGATATTAGCCTGTAAGAACATGTAATAAATAACTTCAAAATGCAATGGGTATTTAATTTTAAAGCGTGCCTTTAACATTTATGTGAAATGTTTTTTGTACTCGTTCAATAGAAACTTATCTGGCCACTGGGTAAAACTAGCAATAAAACTACTGATCCGCAATGTGTTAAGTTCTCCGATTGCTTCCCCATCTGAAGATACCACTCATCTTGTAGGGTTATGGGTGCGACTTTACCATGAGAACACAAGTAAAAAAGACTCTAACAGAGAATCTGGCACACAGAGATCCTCATGCTAGATCCATTTCCTTTCTATTCTTGATCCTGACTTTACTTTTAAGTCATTATCTGCTGATAATTCTATGTACAGATGATATTAATAAGCATTAGCATGTGTAGAAAACTTATAACTGGCTTTTACATTTTTTGTTGGTTTCATTATTAGAGAATAGTTTGTATAGAAATCTAAGATTAATTCCTTTACAATTTGAAGAATCCATTTGTAACATGAATAACTTGTCATTTTAAATAATCATAAGTGAGGGGAAATGTGAAACCGCTATTTTTTTATTTTCTCTTTGGGGACAGACAAGGGACAGACAAGCTTGGCGGTGGATTCATGGTGATCTTGGATTCTGGGACTAATTCTACCTCTACATTCAGTGACTGAAATCACTCAAAGTCATTTCACTGCTAATTACCTTCCATTACTTCATCTATACAATGGGAGGGAGGAGCAGTAAAGAGCTGAACTTAATTTAAAGTCCTTTTCAGCTCAAAAATGCTGTTTTTCTTAATTTAGTGTTACTATGTGTCTGACATGAAAGGGAATAAAATATAGCAATGGTTCTCAATTGGGGGAGAGGGCTGACCTCTAGGAGCCACTGGGCAATGTCTGGAGACTTATTTGGCGGCCACAACTTGGGAGTAAGGGGACAGTGCTACTTCTAGACATCCTACAATGAATAGGAACTCCTTCTCCCTCCAAAGAAAGAATTATTTGGCCCCAAATATCACTAGTGCAAATATAATCTGTGAACAAGGAATCAGAATACAAATGTTATTGGCCAAATGTCACTGCAAGTTTATAACTCAGAGATAGGTAAAATATGAACGTTATCATACAACTGTCACAATTCCTCAACTTAAGTTGAGGAATAAACAGAATTTCAGTGGTTTCATAATAAAAATCAATACATCATTGCAGCTAACATTATAACTTTTTAAAATTCCAAACAAGACACAATTTTAGCACTCACTATTGAAGGGATATGTACAAAGAGAGAAGCTAAAATACATATAAGAATTTGCATTGGACATTACACAAATTTTTAATGTTATCTGGTTATAGTACTAGTTGATACCATACATCAAAAAATTATTGGTACAAAAACTACAGGGCAGAATAAATCATGATAGTTCAAATTTCTCTAGTTCAAGAATTCTATACCGAGATTTGCTGGACTGAGTGTGATAGCATTTACTTCCACTCACTGCAAGTATGTGCATGACTGAGAAATAAGCTACCCTCACAAATACTCTATGAGGTATTCTACAGTTGACCACTGAATAATCCTATCCCACTCAAATCAAGGTTCTATAAATGACTATCCATCTAAATCCTTAACTTTGTGATTCTCCAGCTTAAGCATGCAGCACAATCACCTGAAGTCCATGTAAAAATACAGACTCTTATGATCCATTCTCAGAGATTTTCAGTCGGTAGAGCTCGTGTGAACTTTGGAATCTGAGTTTATATGAGCAACCCAAGTAACCCTAATGCAGGTAGTATGCAGACTACACACTGAGAAACACTGGCTCCGTGACTGCCTAAAGCCACCTAGGGCAGTGATGGCGAACCTTTTGAGCTTGGCGTGTCAGCATTTTGAAAAACCCTAACTTAACTCTGGTGCCGCGTCACATATAGGAATTTTTTGATATTTGCAACCATAGTAAAACAAAGATGTATATTTTTTATATTTATTTTATATATTTAAACGCCATTTAACAAAGAAAAATCAACCAAAAAAATGAGTTTGCGTGTCACCTCTGACATGTGTGTCATAGGTTCGCCATCACTGACCTAGGGGGATGGAAGAGCTACCCATGAATCAGACAATCTGTTAGTATCCTAGAGTTAGACATGGAATCATATTGGCAGCTAGCTTGGGAAAACAAATTCAATTTCGTTACCTCTTTGATTCTAAGTTCTACTAAACTGCCTGCACTGGAGTTGCCCTGAAGTATTTAAGGAAACTTTAAGAATTATATGCAAAAGATCTATTTGTAATCTCTAGATAATAGTTATTGAATATTTATCAACTTTTGCTTAGATACTAAGAAGATAAATTTCTCTTACTTCATAGTGCATAAAACATCTCCATGATTCTATAATAAAATGAAAAATGCATCCATCACTGACATCAAACACTAAATAGTCCCATTCAATATACTTAAGTTTACTGGTCACTGTTTGTCTCTCCCACTAAGAATGTAAGTTCCATGAGTAGAGACTTTTGTCTGCTTTGCTCACTCATGTATCACCAATGCCTAGAACATGTCTGTCATATCCTGAAATATGGTAAGCACTCATTAAATACCTGTTGAATGGATGCTTACTCTACAGCACTGGAACAAAAGAATGACTTTTAAATAAGCTATTTTTGTATGAGTCAAGCAGTCACAGAATCTACAAGCAAGCCTCACAGGTTGTATGCTGGTTGGGAGAGGAGTGAAGGTTTATTATTCAATATCCAAGGAGTAAAGGACAGAAAATGAATGAAGCATCTACCACAGTGCCTGGCAGAGGGCAGTCCTCAGCACACACCAGTTCCTGGTTCCTTTTCTTAAAGCTAGAGGTTTGCTTCAGATAATGTATTAAATGTCTACATTTCACACAATGTAACCTCTGGCGAGATTTTTCCTCCTCTTAATTCAGCATAACATATTACACAATGTTAAGTGAACAAATAAAACCTAACTATCATAAGATCAGAGGCAAAATTTAAACCTTTTAATGATTTATGAAAATGAATTGAAAAAAAAGTCCCATCATAAAGTATTTAAAAAGCTACAAACTATATATGAAGTCTTAAGACCTATAAGAAAATTGCTCTTAGTTCCAGCAATTAAAATACTTTCTTCTCTAAGCTACTCAGGAAAAAGTATTCACTATTTTTTCTCTGATTCTCATGCCACTTAATAGTGCACACAGAGCACTTAATAAACACTGAGTAATAAGCTAAAGAATTAGATATGAGTTTCTGACATAATGTAAACTGTTACCACTGCAGCATCACATGAGTAGTTCTCCATTAAGATGTTTACTGATTTATTTTTCTCATTATCTTTATACTCCCATATTCCTTTACACATTACTTAATTACTCCATTGAATGATTCAAAGGATCACAGAATGTGGCATGTTTATGACTTTACTGCACTTGTTGGTTTTTCATCTCTCGCCCTCCGTTTAACTGTAAGTATTTCCAGGACAAGAAGGATTTGCTTTGGTTCTTGTTTAATTTCTACAGACCAGTACAGGCTTGACAAACCAAATATTGACTGAGTGACCATGAATGAATGACCATATAAAGAATATATCTTTACATGCATGTCTAATCAACATAAAAGTGTAGGAACAATATTACTTTCATGAGCAACAGTTGAAAGGAGTAACTTCTTAAACTTTTTTAAAAGCTTATTTCAAGAAATACCAATTCAAGCAAATTAGTGTCTCTACAGTAACTTCTACCACTGATCTCTTCTCTCAAAGTTTCAACAATTCATTTGTGTGACTCAATAATTCCAGCTCAAACATCGCACATGTACTCTAATGACCTATTCCATAACATAAATAAAGCAAAATACCAAATTCAAAATAGCTGCTAACATGAAAATGCATACAAATTTCAATTTAGTATTATTTTCCACATAACCAGTTCAGTAACTATGCTAAGAATTCTATACTATTATTTTTAACTGTTTTTCTTTCTACCACAGAGCTAATCTATCACATCTGTATTTTCACCCTTGAAAATGTCTCTAAAAATTACTGTTTCCTCTTTACTCTACTGCCAACCACCCAAGTCAAGGCTCCCAGCATTCTACACCAAGATGCACACAAGTCGACTTAGATGATTTTCTTATCTCTACTCTTCTTTCCTTACTACATGTAGCAAGCCATTGGCCTTCTCAAAAACGTGTATTGCCTCTTAACTGACAAGCAATAAAACGTAAAACACTTTGTCCCACATGAGGGCCCCTTAAAATCTGGGATTACCTCTTAGCACCTTGTATGTAGTAGTAATTGTGGTAAGGGGTTTGAATATGAAATATCAGTACAATCATAACCTAGAGGATTATTACTCTTCCATTTACAGACAAGAAAACTGAAATGAAGAGATTAAGTACTTCCCCAAAGCCAAAAAAGCAGGACATGGAAGAGTTGGGATGAAAACATAAGTCTTTCTTGTTCCAAAATTGTATCCAGAGTATAACCCTGATTTTCTAAAATGAATTACTCATTACATACTTCCTCTTTCTTCACTAATTAAAGGAAAAAGGAACCTACATTTACTGAATAGAACAAGGAACTTTATATGTACTACATTATTGAAATCTCAAAATAATCATTAAGAGGCCTTACAATAAAAATTTACCTGTGTGGAAACCGAAGTTAGAGGTGCTAAGGCACTTTCCTGGTGCTGTACAGCAAGAGCATATCTAAATAAAGCATATACACAGCAGAGCCAGAATCTGTTCTCTGAAGCCATGCTCTTTCCAAATTTCTATGATGTCTCATACTTCTCTAAACTTAATTTTGTCTTTTCCCAAATCCTTTAAGACAGGCACTGGTAAACGTTTTCTGTATAGGGTCATAAAATAAATGTTTGGGCTCTGTGGGGGATACAGTCTCTGTTACAATCACCCACTGTGCCAATGGAACATGAAGACAACCACGGAAAATGGTATACAAACCAGTGTGCTGTGTTCCAGTAGAGCTCCATTTACAAAACCAGATACTGTAGTGGCCAGATTTCGGCCATGGGCCATAGTCTGCCAACGACAGTCTATTCTCTGGTACGCACTCAGTAAACTCATTTCCAACTCTATGATTTTGCTCTAGTACTCTCTCTAAAGTGAATACTTTCCTGACCCTCACCTGCATTTATCCTAACTCAACTCGTCCTTCATATTCCCATTTACCCCTCAGCCATGCCGTCTCACACTACTCAAACAACAAACTCTCATTCTTAATTCACACAGCAATATCAATAGGTCAGTGCTCAAATTTTTATTGTTGCTGCAAGTCACAAATTATCTCAAGTGGGCTCAAAATAGAAACAAGAGCTTACACATCTCCAATAGGCTTTCAGTTAACATATTTCATATTACACACCCAATGGTTAATTCATTTAACTCAAAAAGCACAGTCTTAATTTAAGATAACTTTAATTTCACATGGGCAAAAAAACATGTATTTCTTCCTCCTACCTTGAATACAGCTTTGCAATTTATACAGTTTCATTAGGCTAACAGTTAAAAAGTAAACTGAGTAAATGCTTACTAGAATAGGAAGTAGCATCCATCTTTCCAACTTTAACTGGCGAACCAATGCTTTTCATTTCAAGACCAACTTCATTCCAAATCGGCTCCAGTTTTTTACAATGACCACACCATGGTGCATAAAACTTGTTAAGAAACAAACAAAAACAATCACTAAAATACTGTGCTACTGTGGATATCAGTCTTCATTTTAAAGAATCTCTTTGACAAAATGATCTAATAATAATGTTCTAGACAAAACAAAGACTAAATATTACTTTCAATTGGTTAACATAAAACATATACATAAAGCATACCCCTCAATACTGACACTATTTTAAGGTAACTTTAAATGATTACTGATATGTATTTTAAATAGATACATGATTTACAATAAAAGCATCTTTGTTTGCAAGTGATGTGTCCATGTTATGTATAAAATGAGACCATCAAATACAATACACATCATGTGCACACCCCTTAGGTGTTAATGATAAATTTGAATCTATTTCTACTACAAAAATTCCAACACAGCAGCTGCCTTTACTAGTTTAAGAGTAACCATTGATAAAATGGGAGAAACCATTAAGATGACTGGTTTGGCAGAGGGACAAATAAGGCTGGTTAAACTAAAACCACAGTTCTTCCTTCTTCAGAATCACCAGCAGGCTGAGGTGGTAACTGGTGTTAGGTTAAATGGTGTAACACAATGCTTGCTGTACTTTCATGAAATAGGACTTATCTATCTGTGAACACTGTACTTTGGCAATGTTCAAACACAGGCACGAGAGAGAGGGAGAAATACACAGTGAGCCTTGTGCCCACAGCCTGGCTTCACTAAGTGTTCACGCTGCTACCGTGAGTCTGTCTCTTCCGCTGCCACTCTCCTTTTACTGCGGCAGGTGAAAATGAACTCCAAACACCGTAAAGTGTGAATATAATCCACACTTGAAAATGAGAAAAATTTGACTTTGTTACTATTAAGATGAAAGATGATTTTGACTGCCAAGTGATTAATATACACAGTCTCTTGGGTAACATGACAAAGCGAGAGTGAATTTTGAAATAAAAATCATACGATAATCTCCCTCAGACACAATCCACAAACCAACCTCATCAGAACTTCATCAAAGTCAAGTTCCTTGCCAGGAACTTTAAGGCTCTGAGGTTCATCTATATATATAAAAGCCTAAGTGACTGGCTAACTGGCCAGTAGCTATGATGTGCACTGACCACCAGAGGGCAGACGCTCAACACAGGAGTGGAAACCACAGGCATGGAAACATAGAACAGACTGATGAATCTCAGAGAAAAGTGGGGTGAGGGAGGGCAGGAAGAGATTAACAAAAGATCTTATATGCATACTAGAGGACCCTCAGCCTGGCCTGCGGGGATGGGGCCGAAACCGGTTCTCTGACATCTCCCCGAGGGGTCCCGGATTGTGAGGGTGCAGGCCAGGCTGAGGGACCCCACTGGTGCACAAATCTGTGCACTGGGCCTCTAGTAGAAAATAATGTTTAAAATTGTAGGGGTGGTTAATTAGTACAAAAATTTTACATACTCACATCTACAAGCCAAATGTCATCTTTTCGATTGTCCTTAAACCTACAAAACAAAAAACAAGGAAACAAGTCTTTGTATGTTTCTACTTTACCACTGAATAACAGGTGGGGATAATTAGTTGATAAATATAGGGGCATGCAACAAAATTCTTTTAATAAATTTTTACATGCAAATTTTACTCAATGATCTCTAAATCTTACCCATTAAACATCATAATAAAAGTAGAGAACTGAAGTAATGAAGTGGCAGTTGGTAGAAACACAGACACATGCTCAGCACCTATGCCTTCTGCTCCATTCACACCTGTAGTTAGTTAATGCAGCAGGCCTGAGGCTGCTATCCTTGGAAAGCTTGCCTGCCTTGGGTTGCCCTTAGTTGGCATCTGGGAACTTGAATTTCAGCTTCTGATAATGATGACTCGGTGGTTTTACACTGAGCAAACAACGTGGTTTTGTGAGAATAGCTGCTCTCCTTCTTGCCCTTTCCAACCCCTAAATAGAAAAGAGGTCTAGGAATTGATGGGCCCAATCAGCTACTGATGCTGTCATAGAACCCATGTGGGGATCTGGATGGCACCCATCTACCAGGTTATCAGAAAGGCCACTGCCTTTGAGTGGGGCCCCAACTAGCAAGACACCCTGGCAGCCCTCCAGCAGGCCACCAGGGCTCTCTTCTCCTGGATTCCAAGGATCTATATCCTCCCCAAGTTGACTGAAAGATACAACCCTTTGAGAGGCAGTTATTGGCCTGTTGCTGGGCCTTGGCAGCCAAGTGCAGTAGTAGGCTCATGAGCAGAAATTCCAATCATGCTGCTAATGAGGGAGACCCTGGACTCTATGGTGTAGTGGCAAAGGCACAGGAGCCCAGCCGGAGTCTTAAAACTCCATGAAAAGGTCTCCCAAGTGGCTCTCCACCTCTCAGGAATAACATCCAAGGAGCCTCCTCTAGTCCAATGGGGAACCAGAGACAGAGTCCTCCTGGATCGCCCCTGGGCCTGGGTCAATGATGGCTCCTTTGGGTTAACTTACTGGAATAGAATTAGGTGTGGACACCATTCAACCTTCACCAAGCATGGTGGAGTACTTTGAATTTGTAAGGCTACTCATAAGGGCTAGGACTGTAAGATGATCTGACCACTGCTCTCCCACCTCCCGTTCCTCACTCCAGCCCCAGCAAATAAGCACTACTGTATTTTCACGGGTCTCTATGCTGACAAAGGAAAATGGAATCGAGGAGCATACCAGGCTTGTCAGCTAAACATGGAAATGAATTGTTACCCCAGAGCAAGCAGGGGTGCAACTAATTGCCTGCTGGGTCCACCAGAGGACAGAAATTCAGACACCATCTTGGACTGGGCTGGTGTGAGACGACACTAAACTAGCACGAAAAACCTGTCCTTCTTGTCAAACCCTGGCATCAGTGGGTCAGGACATTCACAGCAGGTAGCACACACTGCACCCCTCATGATGGTGGGCCATACCTGTCAGTCAACAGAACATCCATCTAAAGAAGGTGAGGGTTTGGGGTACCTATGCCTGTTCATCTTCCCTTCCTCCTCCTGGCTAAAGTCATGGCTGTCAGGCCATTCTAAAGGAAGAGGTCTATAGTTACTGTCTGACCCCCAGAGCAAGGACGATGGGCCAGGTACAGAAACTCACCAGGGCAGAAAGCTTCAGATGCCTACCAAGGGGCAAACCTGAGAAAACAAGAAGCTTGCCCCCGGGGCAACATATCCTCCCCTAGAATATCACTGGTAATGCAGTTTGGATCCTGGATCTTTCATATCGCTGGTCAGGCTGTTTAGACCACCCTTGGCCCTTTTCTCTCTAAAGAGAACATCTAGGCCTCAGTTGTATTTCAGCTTCAGGCCCAGAAAAGCAGCAAAACCAGAAAAGTGTTGCCTTGGCTGCCTCAGGACTAACTATATTGACTAATGACCCCCTGCCCTGGCACTAGCCAATTGGTGAACACCATGCTTAAAGAGCACACCTGGAAAACTGATGAGTATTCTATTAAGACTCTACCCTGAAACCTCTATTTCCACCTGCAAGAGAGAGAAATATGCTCAAGGCAAAGGACCCAGTGCGCACTCTCTCAGCAAAGAGCAACCCCTTTCCATTCCTCCACAGGGATGTATCCCCCAACCTCTAAGGGACCCTATGAGACTTGCAACCAGGGGAGCAATGAGCAGCAGCAGCTTGTCCCAGGCTCCACCCCTGAACCTGTCCCCAAGGCTCCCTTTTCTCTAACTTCCCAGTGAGACAAAGCAGCCCAGCCTAGGCTCTCCTGTTGCTTCTTCTATGCCCTTCTTCGTTTTACTGTCCTAAATACATTTTTTGTTGCCATCATGACCCAATACGCTTTGGCTCAGTGCTGTGTAGCCCATCCCTTTGGATATCCCCATCACCCATCCCCTTTTCCTTAAATAAATTCAGTTATTCTTTCTCACTGTCTAAGATGGCTATTTAGCCTGCCTCCATACCACTGACTTTAACCTTTAACATTTAAGAACATTACCTCCCTGTTGACAATGGTTCTCCCAGGATCAAACAGTTTCTGTAAACAATCTGCTAGTACTCCCCAGTACTCACTGGCATGGCTGGTAAAGGGCCCCATAGGACCCTGAGGCTTTTGCTTGTCAGAACGGCATGTGCTCAACTGACCACCCTGCTGCTACAGCAATGTTGTCATGTGGAGGTGGTAAGTAGGACAAGTCAAACTGAAAGTAACAATGGAGGCTTTCTTCGTTTACTGCTATGATGCAAGCCAAGGGGCACACAAAAAAGGCACCAGCTCCTCAGTGTTCCATTTTCCCAAGTGGAACCGTGCCAGGCAAGGGTCAGCACTTACAGAGGAGCAGTGAACCAAAGGCTTCTTCTGCCTCTGCCTCTTTATGGACCCCTGGGCAGAGGGACGGCCAGGGAAAAGGGACAGGTGAAAAGCGCTGAGTCCAGGTGGAGCAAAGTGCCTCGGTCACGCCCCTCTGTAAGGAGGTCTCTGCAAGGTGCACAGGAAATGCCTCAGGTGAGCCCCCTGCCTCCTGCCTAAAGGCAAGTGGGCTAGGAATGCAGACACTTAGCCTAGCTAGCACGCTGGCCCTAGAGGCCTGAGTCTATGGCTACAACTCCCTCCGGAGACTGCGGGGCACCGGTTGTACAGCGAGTTTAGTGTGGGGAGGGTAGTTTCCCCTTGGAGGCCTGCCAGGTAAAGCTTTACAATTGTCTGAAAGATCACACATTGGGTTTTGGTCTGGAGCACGACTCGACTCTTCACCTACTATAAGCAAGGCCTTGTGATTAATGGTGTGGTACTGTAAAAACAAACACACACACATACACACAAAAACACAGCATGGTCCCAAATTCCAGGAGCCACTTACTGATTAAAGCAGAAAAACATAGCAAATACAGGTGAAATGATAAAATAGAACACAGATGAGTTTGGCACTTTTTAAAATCTTACAACTTAGTAAAACTCTTTGAACAAAATTAGTGCTATATATAGTAAGCACTAGTTATTACTGGCTCTATTATTAAAAGACTAGATTCATACAAATATTCAGAGTTGGAAGAAGATACTACTTAAAAATATATATACTCACGATTCATCTAAATCTTCTACGAATCCTTTACAGAAAGCCATCTCAAGTAAAAAAACTGAAAGAAAAAGGGAAAACATATATAATAAATGCTGGTGTATCATTTGGCTTGTACTATAAGCTCAGTCATCTAAAAAAAATGTTTTTGATTTTTATCAACCTACCAAAAAATTCATTGAACCATCCCAGGGCACAAGTGATGAAAAAGCATAAAGAGTTCAAATGTTTAATAAACATTCTGCATGCAACCGTACTGTGAAAGGCTAGTAAATCACAGAGGTTCTTTTTAAATATACTTCCACTTTCATCCCATTTTTCCTTGTCACATGCCATCTTTTTGGAATAGGGATAGAAATTGTTGCTTTTCCTTTTTCTCTAATACCAATGATCTCCTCGGCATAAACTCCAAATACCATTCTACATACTTTAGCTTTTAAAAAAAAAATTATATTGTTGAAAGCATTACAGGTGTCTCGTTTTCCTTCCAGTAACCCCCGCTTCCCCACCCTCTTCCCCGCCCCAGGTCTTCACCGCACTACTGCCTGTGTCCATGAGTTTTGCATATATGCATCTACGTTCTTTGGTTAATCTCTTCCAAACGGTTAGTTTTTATTCCCAATTTCATAGGTCTTGAGCTCCACCACCAATAGTATTCCGGAAGAGGATCTGGCACATCCTGGTTACTGAGTGAAAACAGCCCAGAGAGAAACAGGGGCGCGGGGGCTGAGCAAAGGCCCACCCACATTCGGGGCACTTTCCACTGGGCACCTGAGTCTGTTCTGCCCTGGGACACCCCATCCTTCGCCCCTTCTTCCCAAAGACTCGGAACCTAAAGCCCAAGCCCTGAGTGGCTGCACCTTCGGAAGGTAGCATCCTTCACGCCTGTAAGTGGAGCCAGCGCTCCGGAAACTTCCTGCCACCCTGAGAATCAGAACCGAACGGAGGAAAACTCATCCTTCCCGCGCGTGACACTGGTCTCGGGCAGCCCGCGTGGGAGGAAGGAATCACGGCGAGGGACCCCGAGGCCGGTCCAGGCCCGACCCCATCCGGGGAGGGTCCCCGCGCCCACCCGCACCACCCCCAGCCAGGCCTGTACCAGTGGCGCAGAGCCGCAAGGCAGCCCCGGGTGTCCGAGCTGCCATGGTCGCAGCAGGAGAGCTGCAGGCCGAGGGAAAGCAGTAGCGGCGGCCGCCTGCGCTCCCGGAAGGGGAACCGGGGCGCGGAAGGGAAGCTGGGCGCCGAGGGCAGGGGCGGGGCAGCTCCCAGGACCCGCCGGCCTCCGCCTCTGAGCATGCGCGGAACCAGAGCGCACGCGCAGAACTGGGGCGCAGGCGCAGTCGCGTCCACGAAGGTTGGCGTTCTCAGTGGCCTCGGGGAGCGTGGGAACCGCGAGTGAGGTCGCTGACGCGGGCGGGCGAAGCGGCCAGTGCTGCTTGGGTGCGTTTCAGGGAAGTTCAGTTCCGGCTGAACTTGAAGAAGGAGGTAGATTCCGACAGCTCAGCCTGAGGTTGGATTCTGCCAGGTTTTTCCCTCGCTGCTCAAGTGCAGTGAAGGATGAGATTCCTGCAGAGGTGCGGTAGCTAGCAATGGTTAGAAAGGTTCTTTTGCTACGGGACCCTCCATGTACTATTTCAACAGTCTTTGAACCTGTTTGCAAAATAGGATATCTGTCTTAGAATAGAAAGCTCATGTTTGCCAACTAAAGGAATACCTTCAAAATTTTTTAAATCTTGAAACCTGGTAAAATGAAGTTGATCATAGGATATATTTTTTGATGATTTGTTCCTCTGTTTTCTTTTAGAGATAAAGTACTTGCTATAAAACATTTATTGCTGTCTTTCTACACAACAAAAATGATTTCTAAAAGCGACAAAGTTTTTTAGGATGGTTTCAGCAGCAGTCATCACATCTAATTCAAATGAAATTTTTGTAGGACATAAAATTTCAGGATTTAGATAGTCAGTTATTGAATGTGTGTTTTGAGAACAGATATGGATTGCAATGTCAGCCGATTCACCTTAAGTTCAAAATTCCAACAGGCAGAAATCTCATAAACATTGCTATCCCCCATGATTAGAAGGCTAAATTATAATCTGATTGAGAGTAAGCCCTAGGTTTCCTCCCTTTTATGCATATAGCATAGTATCCAATGCAGACGTTCAGATTTTTTACAGAGAGGAAGGGAGAGAGATAGAGAGTTAGAAACATTGATGAGAGAGAAACATCAATCAGCTGCCTCCTGCACATCTCCTACTGGGGATGTGCCCGCAACCCAGGTCCATGCCCTTGACCGGAATCGAACCTGGGACCTTTCAGTCCGCAGGCCAACGCTCTATCCACTGAGCCAAACTGGTTTCGGCATCAAAAATATTTTTAAGTGAGCGTTTAGTTTAATAGCTTAACATGCATAAATATGTAATCAAAGTTCTCAAAGTAGAATATATTATGGATGAGGATCCAGGGACTCAGAGGAGATAATTTCCTTAATAACTAAAAAGAATGAAGTTGTTATTTGAAACAAAGTCCCAGACTCCAGAGCTGGTGTTCTTTTGTTTTGGGTCTTTGTTGTTGTTGTTTTTTGTTGTTGTTGTTGTATTTTAGAATATCACTTTTATTTGTGTCTTCGGTGAAACATGAAACACAAGAGATCAAATTGTTCTCAAGGTAAGAACAAGGCTTCTTTTGCAAAACAAATACACAAAAACAAATAACTATAAATCATATGCTAACACCAAGTAAAAACACCAAGGTAACTGTATATAACAAACAAATTGCCTGAAACTTACCCTTTCAAAAATAACCTAATCCAAGTCCCAAACCCACCCTAACTTTTCCTCCTGTCTGTGAATCTCTGTAAAACATTTTCTGTAATTCTGTATTATCTATATTGCTTTTATACAGATAGCCATTCATTATATCTCAAGCTAGACAGTAAGTTCCCTTGAGGAGAGAGACTTGACTGATCTACTTCTGCTATGTAACAGGCACCCCTCAAAGACTAGCTGGCATTTATTTTTTGGCAAGCATTTATGACCTGGTTGGAGTGAGAAGGATGTGTGCTGATGGTAGGATATGGAATCTAGGAGAGTAAGATACAAATTACAAAACAGTCAACATCTGATAGGCTGCTGTCTAGACAAAAGGGCTAATATCGCTTTGATTTGCTAATACTAAAAGCTAGGCTACAGTATAATTCTCAACAGCACGATATTTTTTAAAAAATATATATATTTTTATTGATTTCAGAGAGGAAGGGAGAGGCAGGGAGAGGAAGAGAGAGATAGAAACATCAGTGATGAGAGAGAACCATTGATTGGTTGCCTCCTGCACTCCCTCTACTGGGGATCGAGCCCGCAACCGGGGCATGTGCCCTTGACCAGAATCTAACACGGGACCCTTCAGTCCACAGGCCGATGCTCTATCCACTGAGCCAAACCAGCTAGGGCAACAGCACGATGTTTAAATGAAAAAACAAAACAAAAAAACACACACTTCATTGCAACCAAAAGTTATATACCAGTTGTTAACTTCTGCTCTATTGAATGTCACCAATATTTTGTAGATAATGTATAACGTGCTGAAGATATGGTCATTCAATAGAAAGCGATCCTGACATTGCATTGTGGCTGCTGGTGAAGATTAATCTTGGAAAACCTGTGCTTCCACATTCCTTTGCAGCAGCGTGAATTCTGGCTGATCCACTGTAGAGAGCCCATATGAGCATTCAGAATTCTGCAGATCTGCTGGGACAGGTCAATAGTGTCAGGTCTTTCAGATATACTTAGGTGCTCAGTACTGTCCTGCAGATCCTGGGCCATTTGTTTCAGCTGAGCACCTATGTTTTCTGCTACTTTGTAAATCCTCTCACACTCCTCATCTACATAACTTGCATAAACGGATCCATTGTCCTTCCCAGACTCCTCTAAAGAGATCAAGAGATTTTCTAGTTCCTTCTACTGCAGCAGGACCAAATCCAATTCTTTTTCCAGTCTTTTCTGATCCAGTTTCACTTTTTCCACTTTTCCATGTAAAATAGTCATCTTCTAACTATTGTCAATCAATGCAGAGTGCCAAGCATTGGCCTGGGTGACCTGGTGATGACCTCTTGATCCTCTAACTCAAGGTTCCATTTATTGATCAGACCGGCCAGCTGACCATATGTCATCACGGGAGTTATGATCAAATTAACAGTCGAAGTAAAAGGTGTAGAAGCAAAACTGACTGGAAGTGGTTAATGAATCCCAGTTGATATCACTGGTTTTCGATTGAAAGTAAAACCAATAGTGATTGTGGTGGTGCTGGTGGTTGTGGTGCTGGTTGGTGTTGGAGGTGGTCCTGGTGGTGGTCATGGTAGTCGTTGACTTTGTAGTAGATGCTGCTCCACCCACTCTAGGGAATTTAAGTCTAAATTCCAAAGTTTTACCACCAAGCATTGCAGCTGAAGTTGTTGGGGCTGTCAAATGAGACCAAATCTTTGAAAACAAAGTGGACATTTATAGAACTCTGCATTCAGCAAGCAGGAAATGCATACTGTAACTCACATAACATAATTATAAGTCTCAACAGTTTGAAAAAAATGTGGTATTATCAGCATGCTATCTGACCACAACATAAATAAGTTATCTATAACAAAAGATAAAGCTATGCCCATAATTGCGAAATTTAAAAACACTGTTATAAATAGTATCTTTGTAAAAATAATAATAATTGAAACTAAAATATATATATGGAATGAAATAAATTGCGTCTATTAAAATTGTAGGATGCAGCAAAATCTGTATGAGAGAAATTTGCAGCACTCAGAGAAATTTATAGACACAAATGCTTTTTTAAATTTTAGAATAAAATAAAATATCAGTGAACTAAACTTTCTCCTTAAAAAGAGAAATAGCAGAAAAAAGGGAAAACATGAAAGAAACAGGGGCATTATTTTATTGTGCCAGGAACTGCTCTCTGCACTGAGAACATAGCTTTGAAAAAAAATGGACCCAGTGCAGTTCACTTCCTAGTGTGTTATAGGAATTTTCACTTACATGGTATATGTATATTCAGGCAATTCTCTAAATGCTTTACATACATTAACTCAGAGTGAGAGTGAGAGAGAGAGAAACAAGATTCAAGGGAGAGATTCAAAGAAGTCCCGGAAGTATGTCTTTTGATCCAACCAATAATATGGATAAATTTTTGTTACAATCAATTCAGAAATTGAGAGCATGTGAGAGAGGATGAGGAAGTGAGAAAAACATCACAAAAGTCCAGACATCAGGACACCTTTGAAGAGGCAGGCTGAGTGAGTCATCCTTCACACTCAGAGAAGTGGGAGCCAATTTCATGTTGGGACAGTTTAAGTAAGACAGCTCCTGCGCATACTCAATTCTCCCCCTCTGCATGCCAGCCCTTGAAGGGTAAAGTTCCAATTAGCTGTCTGGGGAAGGCAAAGATAGAAGTTAAATCAAGACCCCCTATTCCACTGCAAGTTTTCTAACCTGAAACAGACCCTAGGAGGGGAAGGGGAAAACATTTCTATGGTAAATCTAGTTAGAATTTTGGTCAGTAATGGGAATGGTTATGCCAATTATTAGATATGCTTTCTATTTTCTTTTTAAAATATATTTTTATGGATTTTATAGAGGAAGGGGGAGGGAGAGAAAGAGAGATAGAAACATCAATGATGAGAGAGAATCATTGATGAACTGCCTCCTGCATACCCCCTACTGGGGATCAAGCATGTGCCCTTGACCAGAATCGAACCTGGATCCTTCAGTCGGTAGGCCGAGGCTTTATCCACTGAGCCAGACCAGCTAGGGCTAGATGTGTTTTCAACTCCAACTTAGTTAGAACTATCTGTTATTCAAGTAGGCTTGTTAGAATTTTCATACAGGGTCACGGGGAAAAGTCCCACTCTGAAAAATGTTTAATGAATGTTGGAAGGACAAGCAGTTATATTTTATGTTGACATTATTGCTTATTCAGTATATTAACTGCATTGATAACATTGGGACCAAAAGAAGGACATAAATATAGACAACAGAAGTTAAGATAAATAACATTATCACAGCATATATGAAAAAGTAACAAAATCAAAGAGTTCTAAAATATAACTTTCCAAGATTGATCTATGACAGGGGTGGGGAACCTTTTTTCTGCCAAGGGTCATTTGGATATTTATAACATCATTCATGGGCGATACAAAATTATCAACTTAAAAATTAGCCTGCTATATTTGGTCAAACA